GTATATTTTATGTAAAATCTCTACAATTTACAAAAATCTCACAGACTGAAACTATTTGCCTACGAAATTGCATACACGAGGACAAAAAGGATCATTTTCTCCTACTTTACAAACATTTTCGATATGAGTGGATCTTCGCTCCATTTTTTTTTTTTAAAGTTAATCCTAAAAGTTTGCATAAAAATATACATTTTTTTGGTATACAAAAACATGGAGCAAAGACCCACTATATCTTAAAAGTACACTTTTATGACAAAGCATTCGCATCTTTCCGAGAAATACTTGAAGTCCACTAAGTCAAGGGTCATATCACAAACATGATTTAAAGGTGCTTAGGCACAGATTTGAACTTAATATTTTCTCAAATTTTCGGTATAATATTACGACTTATATATTGCAATAGCATTTCACACGAAAATATAATTAAAAACTTATTTTATCTGGAAATTATTGGAACTACGAATTCCGGGACGCGTTTGATTAACACATCTTTGCACTTATACAAATTTTAACTTCATCCTTAATATTTAAGAAAAGAAGCGATTTTGTTATGTATTAATGAAAAATATTACATCTATAATCCAGAAAATTCTGAGTAGAAATGTTCGAAAGCAAAACCAGCTCATCAGTATTGTCAGGCCGTGCTCTGTAATGTGTACAGAGTTTAACAAATTGAACACACCCGTGAAACGTAAACTGTTTTTGTAAACAGGGCACGAGCTCTGTTATTGTTTATGTTTACGATTCACCGGGTGTGTTCAATTGTTAAACTCTGCACACACCACTGAGCACGGACTTACAATACTGCGAGTGGGTTTTGCTTTCGAACATTTCTACTCTGAATTTCCTGGGTTATAGTTCTAATATTTTTCATTAATACACAACAAAATTGCCACTTTTCTTAAGTATTAGGAATAAAATTAAAATATGTGAAAGCGCAAGGATGCGTCAATCCAACGCGTCCAGAAATTCGAAGTTTTAATAACTTCGAGATGAAATAAGATTTTTATTATATTTTAGTATGAAATGCTATAAAACATATAAGTCATGAAATTATACAGAAAATTTGAGAAAATATTAACTTCAAATCTGTGTCCAAGCACCTTTAAATGCCACTATTCATCGGGTGCTGTGTAGCGTAGTGGTTAGCGTGTTTGTCTCAAAGCAATATGACACTCCGGATTTTTATTGTTAGGGGGTTCGAATCCCACGAATACTATTTTATTTTTTGAATAAAAGAATACTTTTTTCCGAGATCTTTTTTTCTCAGAAAGGTTTTGTTGATCATAATTTCATAAATTTCAATAATGAGAACTTTACTTTAAATACTTAATTCACAAATTGAATAAGATTTTTTTAATATCTGAAGCTATAGGCATTCTGCACGCCTTGTTCACCCATCTTCTTTTGAAAACATTGAATGGATTTTTTTGTGATTGTATAAAAATTAAGTTGCTATTAATAAAATAAATTCTAAATTTACAAAAATAAATAAATAATGAATGAATGAATGAATGAAATAAAGAAAGAAAGAAGCCATTTATACGTACAGGATGAAAATATTAACGCAAGTACACAAAACATACGAGTAGTCAGTATATAAAACTCAGAACGGTTCTATTAAAAATTTACTGGTGCATAAGATGATTGATTGATTTTATGTTGTTTTACGTCCCATTCGAGAATTTTTCACTCATGTAGAGACGTCACCATATACCGGTGAAGGGCTTCAAATTTTGACCTTTACTCGGCATTCGGGGCCATTGAGCAGTGAAGTATCTTTATCGTGCCAACGCCTGCCGTGACATGGGACCTCGGTTTTTAAGGTCTCATCCGAAGGATCCGCAACTTTTACTTCAAAGTGCCGAGCGCATGCATGGCGAAGGAACAGTTGCTACCCTCACGACCTCCCGATCACGGAGCGAGCGCTCTACCGACTGAGCTACCGTGAACGGTAGGTGCATAAAATGAAAGAACATTGCAAGAACTGCTTTGATTTCATTTAATTACGCCTACTAAACACTATATTTAATTAAAAATGCTATCTAAACTAAAATACACACACCCACACACATATATATATATACATACATATATATATATATATATATATATATATATGGTTGTATGTTCGTTCGCCCTAAAACTTGTTCGCCCTTGACGCCGTTCGCCCTATTTCCCGTTCGCCCAAAGTTCGATCGCCCTAAAACTTGTTCGCACAGGGTCCGTTCGCCTTTTTATATTGCAGAAAGTTGAATAATGAACCAATGGATTTTTCAAATAAATTATATGTACATTGGTACATAAATTGCACACGGGAGACAACAGACGTATGCATGTGGTCACACTATAAATATCTGTACTATCAAAGACCCAGCAGACCAACAGAAATTAACGTCTCAGTCCTTTAATTGTTTTCAAAACATAACGCAGACTGTATGATCCCCTAAATTACGGTGACATTATTAAGTATAATTAAATCAATTAAGCATGTAAAGAGCATAAAATATCAAATTTGAATTATTTAATTAAGATTACGGTAAATTAAAAAAAATACTGTAGCAACATTTGAAAAAAAAAAACACCAAGTCGTAAAATATTGAATAAAATTAATAATAAATGTTGATATTTACTATATACTGTATATATAATATGGCGAACGAGAAGGAGGGCAAACGAGATATAGGGCGAACAAGAATAATGGCGAACGGACCCTGCGCGAACGGACTCATGCGAACAGGTAGATAGGGCGAACGAACCTGATACCTATATATATTTGCAGTAAAGTCCCTGTCCCCTCTCCTTATTTTTAACGCCACTTCATAAAAACAGGGAAGATTTTCAACGGCTCTCCTTCAACTATGCATATCAAAAGTTTTTGTTTTTTCCATAGACTAACAGACGTCTACAACATCCCAGGTACAAATGGGTCCTAAGGGTTTGACTCTCACTGCGAACTCTTGAGGATCGAGGGTTCAATTCTCGTTCCAGCTGGAGCCGCGTCAAAAACTAAGTTGTTTTACGTGGGTAGTGACTGTTTCTTTGCTAAGTCCTCAACATTTTAAGTAGAAGTCATGGGTCTTTTAGGTATTACCTTTAAAAAGGAGGTCCCGTGTATTGGTAGGCATTGGTCAGTAATGAAACACCATGCATAAATCAAAACTTCGCATAATGTGGATAATATCTTTACCTGTGTGAAAATACTAAAATGGCGTAAAGCAACATTCAATTATCAATCACATGTGACCTTTAGGGACCCCCTGCCCCTGGATATAATTATCTAACGCATAACTGCTGTTCTCGTAGCTATAAAGCTACCAAATATGTGTGTTGCATCCTGAAACCCCAATAGATTGAGTCCTCTCAACACCCAAGTATCATAAAATACTTGATCCTATGTCACTCATACGGAGATATATGAGCTTTAAATCTGAAAGGTCAAGACGAAAATTCCCATTATGAAACTTTTATTTCATGTCAGTTAATCCCTATCTATAAAAGTTACGTGTGTACCTATAGAAAAAATAAGTTAATAACACAAATAGGAAATGTATCTTTTCACTATAACATGGTTAGCTTTTATCATCTCTAGTACTATAGATATAGAGTGCTCCTAAGGAATAAATACAAAGAAATGGCATAGATAAACTAAACTATAATCAAATTTAAAATAATAATTATTATTATAAATAACTTATTTTCACATGCACCTTATAGTACATAACATAGTATTTTTTCTTTATTTATAGCACACAGTTCGACGAGGCTTGTCTTCATCTGTAATTTCATAACATCCAGTCTTTCCAGTCCTTTGATTTTGGAATTTTTGGTAAAAAGTTGACATTTTTCGAGTAAAAGTGCATGACTTATATTAACTCTTGCTAAATCAACAGCAATATATACTCTAACTGAAAGTTTCTTATGTGAAATAATCAGCATAATAAGCTGATAGCCTTCTCTATGAGTAAAAAACTTTTCCTGCAAATATTGTAAAAATGAAACTGCAAATATTGTAAAAATGAAACGAAAAGTTTTTTAGCTCACCTGAGCCGAAGGCTCAAGTGAGCTTTTCTGATCACATTTTGTCCGTCTGTCTGTCTGTCCGTCCATCTGTAAACTTCTCACATGTTCGACTTCTTCTCCAGAACCACTGGGCCAATTTCAACCAAACTTGCCACAAAGCATCCTTGGGTAAAGGGGATTCAAGTTTGTTCAAATGAAGGGCCACACCCTCTTTCAAGGGGAGATAATCAAGTATTAGTGAAAATTTGGTGGTATCTTTTAAAAATCTTCTTCTCAAGAACCACTGGGCTGTAAAAGTTGAAACTTATGTGAAACCTTCGTTACATAGTGTAGATTCAATTTTGTGGTAGGGAGGGTCCACAATGGGGAATCAAATTTTTAACAAGGGAATATATAGGAAAAAAATATTTAAAAATCTTCTGCTTAAGAACAGCAAAGCCATTTGTTATATTGATATGTGTTATATTGATATGGAAGCATCCTCAGGTAGTTCAAAATCCAAGCCCCCCCCCCCCCCCCAATTTAAACTTTGCAATACTGAAGTGATTTGTGCTTTTTCCTAGCCATTGTGCTCAGGTGAGCGATGTGGCCCATGGGCCTCTTGTATTTACATGTCATAACCACCTTTATCCAAGTTCATAATTTTGTAGTCACTAATAAGAAGTGTACATGCAAATTTTGGCGTTGGTTAAAGATGGCTATGACATGTGTAGGAGTTGTCTAACACACCCACCCTCTTGAGTTTTCCTATTACCCTAATGCTTATACAGACCGATAGTACATTACTTTGTGACCGTATATCACAATAAATACTATTAATACAATTAGTATCATTTACCAATAAATTTTTATCATTAAATTGGAACATTAACCTTCTGTTTCATGCAGTTTTTAAAGGAAAAAATATTACTTCAAAAAATGAAGTCATTTAGGCTGCAAAACGGCCTTAAAGAGAATCATCCTTTACATGTATACCTGTCAAATTAACTACCGGTAGTTATACAGTTTTTCATATGTAATAAAAATATATATTCTTTTTCAAAAGTGCACAAAAATATAATTGTTATCATAAATAAATCTAAAAAGGCATTACAAGAAATATAGCATGGTTCATACATGATTATACAAAACAGTCATTGCAGAATTAGGAATTGTAATATACTGGTTACATGTATAAGGCACCTATCATTCATTCACTTGAGTATTGTCTTCACTTTGATTCAAGGCCCCTGATTTTTGTTGCTTTTCTAGTATGTCTTTTATTTTCTTTGATGGTAAGATTTTGTTGAAGCAGGTACCAGTCTTGTTGAAGAAATGCTTCAAGTCCTCATTATTATAATAAAAGGGTGGACATGCTCCAAGGAACATGCCATGTAGGGTGACCTGACCTTGGTCATCAAGGAAACAACATGCTCCACCAGAGGCACCATACTCCATGTCAATCAACTTGAGATGTTCAAATTTATCATCGCTTCCAATGTACTTCTTTCTTCCTTCAGTTAAAATATCTTCATTTATGATGAGTTTCTTCTGTTCTGCATTACTGAATGATGTAAACAGATTTTTCACAAATCTCTGTTTTTCATCAAAAGGTGAAATTTTCTCCAATCTTGCTATTTCTGGTGGATTTCGATGTGTAGATTCTCTGGGATTCCCAGGTGCACTCACCTGGCGAAGTAAACATCCATGACTTTTTCTCCCATCTGGATCAAACTCTACAACTCTATGACTGTCAGAATAGAGGATGAGTGAAAGGGTTATACAGGGCTTTCCCTTTTTCTGAAACCGGAGTTCAAAATTGGAAGACAGCGAATCAGTTGGCCAAACTAGGTAGGACTCTCCTGTGTCTCCTTCTGTCAAGGTCAATTTTCTTGATTTAAGCCAGTCTGCTTTGTACTTGTATTTAAAACTTTCACTTGTGGAATCCAATTTTATTTTTACACTGCAATATCTGTCCTCCTGACATTTCTTCTTAGATTTACTTTCTTTTGAGGTGTCGCATTCTGAAATCACACTAAAATTTTTGTCCCCATGATGTCCCTTTTTGGATTTTATTTTCATTAAAATAATTCCTATTATGCCATCTTTTATATTTTTAAAGTGAATGCATTCTTTTCTCTGTCTTTGGGTATATCTTCTTTGTCTTGTATTACTCTGTGAAGTGTCTATATTGAGTGGAATCTCCTTCTCATCTACTTCAATTTTCACAACTCTGTGATTGACTTTATCTTCATTAACTGCTTTCCCATTTCTGTCTGTATCTTTCTCTTTTTTGACTTCATCTTCATTAACATTATTCTCTTTTTTGACTTCAAGTTCTAGTTTGAAAATTGTTTCTTCCAGACACAAGATACATCTTGGCTGAGCATTTTTTTCCTTAATACTATAATGCAAATTTTTGTTTCGTAAAGTCAATGAAATTTCAGGTAAATGACAAGATTCACCCACTCTTAATACATGTGCTGGCAAATCTGTCTTGAATTCTAGACTGTTAATTGTCTTCCAAGCAATTGTACCCTTTTTATCAGCCTCCGGACTCCCATCATTTATCACAAGTTTTTCATCTTTAATTGCACATTTTATTTTTTTCATATTTGACTCATCTGATACCAAAGATAAAAATACAGAATTTGTAGGGTTTTCCTCTACAACAATGGCATAGTCTAACTTTTGGATTCTCAAAATGCCTTGTTTATCATCTCCACCATTTTCTTCTATCTCACAAGCAAAGCTCACCTGTTCCTGTCTTGATGTTATAATGATTCTGTATGGATTGTTAGTTCCATCTTTTGCTGCTGGAATCGGGATCTGCAAATTTTTCCTTTTGGGTATATCACAGTGCCAGAAATCTCTCAAACTGTAAGAATGCCACCTGCCATCCTTCAAGCTCTCTACTGAGACCAGTAATTTCTTGTGTGTTGGCCTATCTGCTTCCATCTCATTAGAATGACTTCCAGGAATTCCCCCTTCACTGTAGCTTCTTTTTATTAATTGTTTTGTTTTGCCATCTGTTTCATACTTGTGCAAATAAATTTTGTTTGGAACTTTTTCCAGAAAGGATTTGGATGTGTGTCTCAGGATTGTATCTTTGTCTTCTGCAATAGCTTGTGTTATTGCACGAATATGAAAATTTTCAACAAAAGAACGTTTCTCATCATCACAAAGAAGTTTTACAAAGTTTTCAATTGACAAAGTCCTATTAAATGGATGTGAGGCTACATAAACATGGTGCATATTGGAATCTTTTGAACTAAGGACCATAGGAACTAGGTTTTGCTTGGCAGATAGTTCCTTGCTACCTTTGAAACTTTGTGATTCTTTGACTTTTAGCAAAGAAAAGTCAAGCTTATGATTTATCAAAATCACTTCATTTACAAAGTATTTGCAGCAGTTTTCCCTGAAATGATCTGAAATATAACCAAAACACAACTTTACTGTAATTTGAAAAAGCCTCAACAATTATTTCAATTTTAATAAATATAAAAATTATGGTAAGGAAATTTCTTTATTACTGTTCGACTGGTCCTAGATAACACCTCCCCTTTTCCACACCATTTATATCTAGAAAGTGTAAGTGTTCCAATATTTCTGTCAGGCTTATTCCCAGTAATACAAATTGAATTTTTCATTTCTTTTGGAAAATCAAGTTATAATTTAGTCCAGTCAGTCTGGACATAAAATGGCAAAACCCAGGACAAATTGCAACAAAAATGACATAGGTCTTAATCTATAATAAAAGTTTATGAAAAACCCACATTTTGGGGGCAAAAAAAAAGTCATATATAAAATTATGAAAATAAATTACCACTGGGTTTTGCCATTTTATGTTTAGATTGACTGGACTAAATGCCATTGCTTGTCAACATCTAGTTTCCTGACAGATAATGCATCTCTCCATGGATTTGATGGTACATGCCCTGAAATTCCAGATTATGGGGAACAAGATGTGGAATTTTGAAAATTACTTTCCTAATTTGGTAATAAAAACTAATGAATTCTTTTTAAATACAATTATACATATGTATTATCTAAGCAAAAATTGTTGCACTGATCCTACAATGTATTGAAACATTATTCTTTGATTGTAAAGTATAAATTAGCCTTACTTTATCAAAATCATGCAGGTAGTTATTGAGTTTAATATATTGAAGTATGCATGTATTCCATAGAAATATGACTGATCATTGCTTTCCTGTTCTTGAGAGGAAGATATTTTAAAGATTTTAGTTCAATATATTTGTGTAAAACTTTGATCACCCATAGTGGCCCTATCCTATCCCTCAGGGTTATGATTTGAACAAACTTGAATCTACACAGCATTCCAAGATCGATTTTTTTTGACTGCTCAGAAAGACATTGGAAATGTTAGACATTTTTATTAGTATAGATTTATCAAGGAAAAATTTTTAAAGGTATAACAATACCCAATGTTATATAATTTCTAATGTTCAGGGAAAAATGAAATAGTGTGTACAATCACCATGTACATCTTCTGTGTATCCTATATGTATTTTCATCTCTTCTGGCTTCAAGGTCACCAACTGCTCTTCCTTTATTTTACACAGTCTTTCAATTTCTGAAAAGAAAATAAATTAAATAGTGAACAACAGAATACTGTTTGCTATCCTTATGTGAACCAAAGGCATCAATGATAAAAAGTTTTGCAATTTAAATTCATGAATGTTTGGTTCATATTCTTGTATAAGGTATGTGTCACTTTCCTACATATAAGGTTAGATTTCTATTTAAATTTTTTAGTAATTGTACAATGTTAGGAAGCAATTCCTTTTCAAAGTGAAAGGATAATACAATCATCATTTATAAACAACTGAAGAATTGTATGGAGTTCTGGAGAAGAAGCTGAAAACTGTGAAAATTGACAGACAACAAAATGCACTCACTTTTAAATCAGAAAAGCTCATTTGAGCATTGGTACAGGTGAGCTAGAAATCCTTCTTTCCACCAATACTGCAAATAACTTACCAACTTGCATTACTCTGATTGCAGCCTCACTTTTTGCTTTAAATTCTTTAAATGCATCCTCGCTCTGATTTTTCTGTTTGGTCTTTTCTGAAAGAAATAACCATGTGCTATACAAGTAATGAGAATGATAAACAGAAAGACTGATTACTACAGGAAAACTGCAATAGATAACCTGAACTAGCAGGTCTATGGTTCTGAGCTGCTCTTTCATCTTCCAAATAGAGTTTTAAACATGAACAAACCTACCATAAGAATCTTTTCATTACAATGCTACAGTTTTCATGAATTTATCCCCATAAATTAAAATGCTACCACAGAATGATCCAAACACCTAATTCTTAGTGCTTACATATCAGAAATCTGATAATAAAAGGCACTGTTGCTTAGAAGTCCACAACACTACTGTACGTACAAGTCAAGCACTAAGCTCATTGCACCAAATCACCTGCCAACCAAAATTGCAGTATAAAAAAGCAAAATTTTTGATGATCTTAATTTCAGCTCAGGAGGGCAATGAACAATGGTTTTTGGCAATATTTTGTTGCAGAAGTAGCAAAAGAATATGTTAGGAACACACATTTAGAATATTTTGAGATGACAGTTTAAATACACGGAGAAATAAATCAAGAAACAGGGCACTTTAAATATATTACACTTTTTACAATGGCTGGCACTGTAGCTCTCTGGTTGTTCTCAATTATTTTCAGACCAGTGAGCTACAGGTCTGCAGCTAAGTATGACACAGACATACCAAATTCTCCTATAAATTTCTTAAATGATTCATCCATTGTATCCAAATTTTCTTTGATGCAGGTGTGTCCTTTTTCCCTAAGATTACAGAAAGTGTTTGTCCTTGCATCCTCATCTTCTAATACTTTTTCACAATACATCAAGAGCAGGTGATCCCATATCTCCGACTTATCTACAATGAGGTTACATACATTTAAGTATAGCATGCATGATAATTTCCATCACACCCCTTTGCTAGGAAACATTATTAAAATTGTTAATGGCCAATATCTGCCCCCAAAATAAAACTTTGATGGGGAAACCTTATTTTTATAGGGAAATATTGAAAGCAGGTTTGCTCAGACTCATCTTTTTACATAATGTCTAATATAATGTCACCTGAGTATAATACAACAATTTAGAGGATCCATAGAGTATAAAATAAACTGATAGATGAAGCTTTGTTACCCAAAGGCAATAGAATAGGATGATCAGGATCAACAAAATAATTAGTCAAGTATTCAGTAACAACTCATAAATTAAATTCTAAACTATCCCCCATTTATCACTATCACCATGCAGACTATTTAACAAACTGTTAGTTCTTCTGTACTACTTTTAACCCCATATTGTGACCTCTCACATTGGCTTCCCTGGGTCTTTGAAGAACATTTAATGAGATAAGTTAATTTTGTCTCATTTTTATTTATTATTATTTACAAGTCTACCTGATCATTAAAACTATGAAAGTACTTTTTGTATTATACAATAATTTTTTTTTTTTGCATAATTCTCTTATTCTTTTAACTTTCAAATACATTATTTACAGTGATTAATTATCAAAAGCGAATGGCAAAGGGGAATAACTTCTCTCAGTAGAATGCAAATTAATAGAGCCCTGGCCAGGACCAGAACACTTGACCAAATGGTCCTGATGTTCAAAAATCTGGTAAAAATATCCCTGCTTTTTAAAACCTTTAAACTTTTATTCTGTTTGCCTTTGACATGCCAAAGAACAGAGAAAACTGCAAAGAAATGATACATTTTCTCTACAGATTCAACAGAGCCCTACCCTAACACTAAAACCCATGTCCCAGGGTCATGAAATTCACAGATTTGGTAGAGGTACCCTCATCATCATAACTCTGCACTTAGTTAAAGATTTTAAGAGAATTAACACATTTTCACTATATTATCAATAAAGCCTCATAGAAACTCACAATTCTGGTAGAAGCACTCTTGTTCATCATAACTATACACTTATTTTCTTTGCTTTATAACCTGGAGCAGAAAAGAATATTTTCATCGAAATTATGCTTTTTCACTATATAATCAATAGAGCCCTCCCCCACTCCCCCCCCCCCCTCCCCTGCTCCAACCATGGGGCCATGAATTTCACAATTTTGGATAAGGCATCATTGCTTATCATAACCATGCACTTAGTTTGTTTAAATCATACCCAGGAGTAGAGAGGAAGATTTTCAAAGAAGTAATGCATTTTTACTATATTAATCAATATAGCCCCACCATAACACCAGAACCCCTAACCGGGGCCACGAAATTCACAATTTTGGAAAAGGCATCATTGCTTATCATAACCATGCACTTAGTTTGTTTAAATCATACCCAGGAGTAGAGAGGAAGATTTTCGAAGAAGTAATGCATTTTTACTATATTAATAAATATAGCCCTCTCATAACACCAGAACCCCTAACCTAGGGGCCATGAAATTCACAATTCTGGAAAAGGCATCATTGCTTATCATAACCATGCACTTAGTTTGTTTAAAAAATACCCAGGAGAAGTGAAGAAGATTTTCAAAAAATTAATGCATTTTCACTATGTAATCAATAGAGTCCCGCCCTAACACCAGAATCCTTGACCTAGGGGCCATGAATTTCACAATTTTGTAAAAGGCATCCTTATGCATCATAACCATGCATTAAGTTTGTTTATATAATACCCAGGAGCAGAGAAAAAGATTTTCAAAGAAATAATGCACTTTCACTATATGATCTAGATAGCCCTAGCTGCCCTAGCACCAGAACCCCTGACCCCTGGGCCATGAATTTCACAATTTTGGTAGAGGGCTCAATGCTTATTACAATTATGCCATCAGTCTGACTGCTTGATGTCCAGGAGTAAAGAAGAAGATTTTTAAAGATTGCATTAATTTTTGTGGTTTTAGCCCCACCCCTTAGGCCCCAGGGGGGCAGGGACCATGAAATTCACATTTTTTGTACCCCTTCACCCATAGATGCTATATGCCAAATTTGGTTGAAACTGGTTAAGTAGTTCTAGAGAAGAAGTTGAAAATGTTCAAAAGTTAACACACGACAGACGACGCACAACGCATGTCGCACGATGCACGTAGCACAACGACAGACAAAAACGGATAGCAATAGGTCACCTGAGTGACTCAGGTGACCTAAAAAGCATGAACTGTTCAAACCCAGTTTATATTGTATAAATTTGGTAGCTATTAAATTCATTCCTTCTAATTAAATTTTCATTCATTTAGTGTATTAAAACAAAAGATGATTGCCCTTAATAAAAAAAAATGATTGCAAACTGTACAAAATTTAAATGTAACATCAGGCGGTTCAAAACATTTTTGATGCAAGTCAATGTGACTTAGGCAACCCAATCTATACATTATAAAGTAAATATTTTATCTGATCAAATACCGCGTTATAACCAGAATTAAATTATTACATGTATAAGAAACCTTAATCATTTATTTATATAACTCTGTTGTCAAAGTTTCATTTAGTCAACATGTATAAAGAGTTTATAAGGAAACAATGCTCAATAAGGAAACAGTTTTGAATATAAACTTTTAGTAGAAATGGAAAATTAATTTTTTTTTTTTTTTTGTTAAGAAGATAGATACATAAATAGTGAATGCTTGGTTACAAACAAAGTGGTTATCTTACTGCAGACAGTGAAAGCTGAAAGGAAACTGAGATTCAGTACCCTTCTCTGACCCAGAAAAACCATGTAATCTATATAGCTGTTTTATTTTGGACATACAGAAGAAGGTGCACACCACATGGATAGCATGGCCAGAGGCTCATCATTGTGATTTAATTTCTAAGACTGGACCTGACAAACATCACTGGCTACATAGTGGTTATGGAATCAGGGCCACGTGGACCAACTCTGCATCATCAGTTCAGGAGACCTTGATATGATGTGTGTGTGATGAGAGGTGCTCATGTTGGATCTCATCATCATCCTTTGGTGATGTCAGCAAGACTTAGACTGAAGAAGTACTCCATCACAAATTCTCACACACGCTTCAATGTGAGCCTGCTTAAGAACAAAGATATAACAGACTTCCTTCCAGCTCAGCCTGTCAAATAAGCTTCAGCCACTACAACAGCTTGCTTAAAGGAAGTTGATATCCAGTGCAACCCTGCAAAAGCTGGAGGTGAGAAAACAAACAAGAGGCCCAGGGGGCCTTAACTGTCACCCGAGTAAAACACAACACTGTAAAGGATCCACAGAAGTATAAAATAAAACAGGATAAACTGAAGGACAAAACTATCAAGATAAACTGAAAGATAAAGCTATGTTCCCCAAAAGCAGGAGAAATAGGACCATGTAAACTAAACAAAGCAGTAATACCTAAGCACTATTAGTAAAACTGTTTCATTTCCTCTAACATTAGCCTCTCTTGGTCTTTGAAAAACAATCAATGTACAAAGATACGGTATTTTTGTCACATTTAAATTTAGCTATTATTTACGAGTCACCTGACCAATAAAACTATGAAGGACTCTTTGTACTATATATTGTAAAAAATTCTGTATAACTATTTTATTCAATTGACCTTTCAATTTCAATTATTAACAGTGATTAATTATCGAAGGTGAATAACAAAGGGGGATATCTTCTCTCAATGAAATACACTCTAATAAATCTCATAATAAAATACAAATTAATAGACCCTTCCCAGAACCAGAACACTTGACCAAGTGGTCCAGAATTTCCAAAAAAAATACCCTTGCTTATTATAAATTTGTACTCTGCATCCTAGAAGTCTAGAAGCAGAGAAGATTTTCACAGAAATAATGCATTTTCACTATAGATTCAGCACAACTCCACCCTAACTCCAGAACTCCTGAAACAGGAGTCATAAAATTCAAAATTTTGGAAAAGACACACTTGCTCATCATTACTATGTACTTAGTTTTTCTGCCAAATACCCAGGAGTAAGAGAAGAAGATTTCAAAGAATTAATGAATTTTCTCTAAGTAATCAATAAAGCCCTGCCCTCACATTAAAACCACTGACTACGGGGCCATGAAATTCACAGTTTTGGAAGAAGCACCCTTGGTCATCGTAATCATACATGTAATTTGTTTGCTTTATACCCAGCAGCAGAGAAGGAGATTTTATTTTCAAAGAAATACAGGTGACTCTCAATCTCTCGAAGTTCAAGGGACCGCAAGAAAAGTTCGAGAGATCGAAGGGTTCGAGAGATAGAAAGTGAATAAAATCCGGAATTTTCAGTTCTGATCATCATTGTTCTACTATTATAAAACCGGAAATGTTGATAATATCATAGCACGTTTTCATTCGTATTTTACAGGTAATTCACTTGATTTCAACAGCAATGATCGTATTTTGAATAAATAAAACGATCTCTTTAAGCATCACTATTTATTTGTTCTCATTTCATGATTACATGAAACCTGAATAGCAATCGTCGGTGTGGCTACCCCATGGCCCCGGGCTTGATCGGGTCCTTCACTAGAATTCTCGTATTAAATCGGTAATGAATTCTTGTGCAATGTTTGTCATACTGGGATTAATTAGACTCTAATAAAGCTTCATAATCTATGGAAAATTATTGACGTCTCTTAAATTATTTTCTAAAAATGATCGTCTCGCTGTCAAGTCAAAATATGTTGCGAAACAATTCGTTTATAATTTAGCAATTATAACCAATAAAGAATTAATTATATCAACACTCAGATCCTTACAGGTAAAGTGTCATCTATGTAAACACCCAATTAACACCTCCATGCCAGTCCCAGGCGTTCACTGTTATCCAGGTAAGTCCAAGCTGCTTTAATTTTACACTTGATTGGCGTGTACACAGGTGCAATCAGAACTTCGAGAGATAGAGAGTAAAAAACAATGAAATGTGTGTAACGGGACCCAGGTCTTGGTTCAAGAAATAGAGAACTTCGAGAGATCGGAAGTAAATTTGTTTACTTATGTAGAGGAAAAAAAACGGGACCGGAGGTTCACTTCGAGAGATCGGAGTTCGAGCCATCGAGAGCCACCTGTAATGCATTTTAAACCCCCCCCCCCCACAACACATACATACACACACCAGAACCCTTAACCCTGTGGCCACATATTTCACAATTCTGGAAGATGCATCCTTTCTTACCATAACTATGCATTTAGTTTATCTGCTTAATACCCAGGAGCATGTAAGAAGATTTTCAAAGATCAATGCATTTTCACAATATAATCAATAGAGCCCTGTCCTGACACCAGAACCCTTGACTAAGGGGCCATGAAATTCACAATTTTGGAAGAAGCTTAAAATCCAGGAGCAGAGAAGAAGATTTTCAAGGAATTAATGCATTTTCAATATATAATCAATAGAGCCCCACCCTAACACCAGAACCCCAGCCCCCAGGGTCACAAATTTCACAATTTTGGAAAAGGCATCCTCATACTAAAATGCACCTAGTTTATCTGCTTAATATACAAGGGGAGAGAAGAAGATTTTTAGAGAATTTATGCATTTTCACTGTATGATCAACAAAGCTCTGCCATAACTGCAGAACCCTGGGACCACTAATTTTACAATTCTGGTAGAGGGCTCAATGCTTATTACAATCATCCAACAATTTGACTGCTTGATGCCTAGGAGCAGAAAAGATTTTTAAAGATAGTGTAATTTTGTTTGTTTTAGCCCCAATTCTCAGGCCTAAGGGGGGCAGGAACTATGAAATTCACAAATTTTGTTTCTCTTCACCCACAAATGGTATGTGTCAAAATCAGTTGAATTGGTTTAGCAGTTCCAGAGAAGAAGGTGGAAATGTTCAAATGTTAATACATTTATAACCAAATGTTAGTGCTAAGAAAGGAGACCTCAGGGAATGTAGCAACTACCATGGACTCATACACATGTCAGTACCAGACAAGGTTCATTTTAGGGAGGCAGTTGATATGAAGCTCCAGAACCAGCAGGCAGGCTTCTGTAGGAATAGGTTATGTGCTGATCAGATTGCTATCTTGCAAATCATAGTAGAACAGGCAATAGTCTAAGAGAGGAATTCTCTCTATATCAACTTTTTAGACTATGAAAAGGCATTTAATACTGTTAACAGGGAGACACTTTGGAAACTGACGGCACACCATGAAGTACAGAAGAAGCTCATCTTCACCTAATCTAGACTAATGCACTCTCAAAGATATGGAAGATATGGTATTCTTGAGAAGAATAATTTTAAAGATTTTTTCCTATATACTCCTATGTTAAACTTTGATCGTCCATTGTGGCCCCACCCTACCCCCGGGGGTCGTGATTTGAACAAACTTGATTCTACACCACCTACAGATGCTTTCACATAAAAATGACCAATCATGGCTTTGCAAGTCTTGAGAAGAATAATTTTAAAGATTTTTTCCTATATACTCCTATGTTAAACTTTGATCGTCCAATGTGGCCCCACCCTACCCCCGGGGGTCATGATTTGAACAAACTTGATTCTACACCACCTGAGGATGCTTTCATAAAATATGACCAATCAATGCTTTGCTGTTCTTGAGAAGAAGATTTTTAAAGATTTGTACTATATATTCCTATGTTAAACTTTGATCGTCCATTGTGGCCCCACCCTACTCCCAGGGGTCATGATTTGGACAAACTTGAATCTACAGTACCTGACAATGATTCTACATGAGTTTCATCTTTCCTGGCCCATAGGTTCTTGAGAAGATTTTTCAATGATGCCATTAATTTTTCACTATTTCATAATTATCTCCCCTTGGAGGAGGGCGTGACCCTTCATTTGAACAAATTTGAATCCCCTTCACCCAAGAATACTCTGTGCCAAGTTTGGTTGAAATTGGCCCAGTAGTTCTGGAGAAGAAGATGAATATGTGAAAAGTTTACAACGACAATGACGCCAACGACAACGGCGATAGACAACGGACAAATTTTGATCAGAAAAGCTCACTTGAGCCTTCGGCTCAATTGAGCTAAAAATATCATGTTTGAATTTTATACCCTGTTGAAATATGTGTGCTGGTGCTAATACAAGGTCTTTTCCTATACATGTGACAGTGGCCTGGCAATGGTTCTGCCAAAGTAAAATTCCAACAGAATGTTTGGTCAATGTCCTCATAATGTCTGACTTATTCAGGGGCTTGTTAACCAACTCTGTAAATGCAAATAAAACATGAATTTGAAAACAAATTTGAGACCCAAAACATGTTTTTTTAAATCTGTGTCACCAGCGCAATCTGTACATTTTATCATCTGTTGAAAAATGTACTGTTTAATAATTTGGAACAAATACACTGATGTTTCTAAACTTTGATCTTCACTAAACAATGGTCATATGATGTAATATATATGTTTTAACAATACTGCCACAATTGCTACAACTTTCTCCATTAATGGAGTTTTTTTTATAATTTTTTTTTAAGTCAGATGATTTTTAACTTAACATATTTGTTTGAGATTATTTACACTAAAACATTATGGGGGAAAATGTCATTTGTTTACCCTCCATCTCCATCAGAATCTCTTTTTCTTTATCTTTCATTCCTGTTTCCCCGTCAACTTGCACTGGGTTCCCTGATACTTTGATACAGCGAAATTCAAATCCCAACTAAAATGTGTTAAATTGTAATTTTATCATTTCTTTTTCAAATTTTTTATTGTAGTAAGCAATGTAAATACTTTTATCCTTTCTTCAAAATTAATAATCATACTTACCAATTATTTCTCAAGCAAAAAAATTCAAAATTAAATGCAGCATGCAGGTTTTTTTCTCCCTTTTTTAAGCATTATATCTCTCTTTTCCTTGTCAACAAATGATGATGTCAAATCAATGAATCTTACTTTTTTGTACTCTTATATTATTTGATACTCAATAAACTAATAATAAATTAAGGGGAATAACAATTTTCTGCTAAGTAAGGGCTGTTTGAAAAGTTTAAGAACTTCTGTCATAACTATTTTTTATTTAATATCATATCAAATCCTAATTTTGTAGACATATTTCAACAAGAAATTCAAATGACTGAATTTAAATTTTCAAATAGATCATGATATATTTCAAATTTATTCAATATTTAAAACTGCTAAAATTGGATTATGGATTACATCAACATTTAGTAATTTACAAACAATGCACTTGATAGTGTGGTTATATCTCTGTAAACTGGTGCAAAAAAAAACAAAAAAATTCTAGACATTCATGGTAAGAATTATTACATTATTTCATATGCCAAATTGTGAGTTAATAATTTGCTTCCTTGAAAAGAAATCAATTTCAGAAGATAAGTAGTTGACATTTAAAAAAATTCAGGGAATAGCAATAGAGATTTGTGTTGCACTCAGAAAAACTCAAGAATAAAATCTAAAAAAGCTGGAGGAAGCAGGAAATATGTCAAAAGTTAGTTGTGCATTTGTGTGTAAAATGACAGGCAGTTTTAAAGGGGCCTAGACACAGTTGGACTGTTTGTGTTTTAAATTTCTTTCATTTTTCAAAAAAAAAAAACCTGTTAAATGAATTGAACTTACATGAATATTCTTAGAATTCAATGACAATGACATTCTTCTTAACATCACATCAAACATATGTTTTTGTAAACAGACTACCTCTGTTATTGTTTACCAGGTGTGTTCAATTTGTTTAACTCTGCACACATCACTGAGCATGGACTGACAATACTGATGGGCTGGCTCTGTTTTCTCAGATTTCTACTTTGAATTTTCTAGATTATAGTTTTCATATATTTTTCATTAATACATAACAAAATTCCTACTTTTCTTAAGTATTATGGATAAAGTTTACTTCATGAAGAACAAGGATTTGTGTCAACCAAACAAGTACGTCCCAAAATTTGTAGTTTTAATAATTTCTAGATAAAAGAAGTTTCTGAATGTGCTTTTATTATATTTCTGTGTGAAATGCTCTAGTAATTTAACATATAAGTCATGATAAAATACAGAAAATTTGAGAAAATATTAATTTCAAATCTGTGTCCAAGCCCCTTTAATTTGTAGGGACTCTGAATAAATTCAGATCATGTATGATCTGTGAGGTAATGGGATATCAGTAAAAATCTTGTCAAAAGAGTGAATAATGTCATGGAACAGTTGTGGCTCTTGTAAAAATAGAGTTACATGGTAAAAATAAATGAAACTAGAACTGTCCAAAATGGACAAATACCCCCTGCAGGGTTTTTCAGAGAAGGTGCCAAGTCACTAAAACTAGTATTTGATGGATCTAAGAGGTGTTCACAATTTGTTTAAACATTTAGAGTGAAAATTTACTGGTAATTGCTCAGTATATTTTTTAATGAATGAAACCATGGTGCAGCCTAATAAAACATAAATACTTAAAATAACAATTTTTTATTACATTCATTTGAAAAAATAAATAACAATTTTTCAAGCATTCCTCTATTGGAAAGTATGGATGCATTATTTATCCATTTTTTCTACAGTGACTATAGGTCAAGATCATGACACACCCTGAGTTCATAAGTAATCTTTGTGTGAAGTGGAAACTCCCAACATCCCAGCATTATTCTCCATAAGAAAGATTAGGGAGAGGGTGTAATAAGTTTTTAGAACTTGAGCCCAATCCCTTTGTAATGAGAAACTACAATAAAATATGTTCAAACCAAGAAAGATAAAGCTTGACATGAGTTATTAACTTTTTCTGTCAGTGACCTTCAACTTGCACAAATAACCTTGGGTCAAGGTCAAGACACACCCTCAGGTCATAAGCAATCTTTGTGTAAAATGGAAACTCACCAAGTTTATCTATAAGAAAGATATGGACCGGACACAAATTATGAACTTTTTCTTTCAGTGACCTTGAACTTGCCCAAATGATCTTGGGTCAAGGTCATGACACACCCTCAGGTCATGAACAATCTTTGTGTGTAGCCTCAGGAAATAGTCTGGCCTTGGGGAACTGGAATCTTGCTAACTCCCTCAATGATATACTTTTAACTGTTTTATTATACCGATACAAACGTAAAATTTAGAGGATTCATATAACGTGATTTCAAAGCAGAGATTAGCTCAATGAACTAACACACGGGGATTAGTCCATTCACATACCATACCAATGTAAAAGTAAAATCCAGAGGAGTACGGATAACCGGGAATTAGCTTTCGAAGCAGGGATTAGCTCACTTGACTAACGCACGGGGATTAGTCCATTCATAACAATTTCTAGGGAATTAGTCACATCTAACGATCTAGTGTTATATAGGGAAAAAATCAGTAGAGGTATAATAAAAGATTCTAATGTTTGTCCATAAGAAAGATATGGACCGGACACATTTATGAACTTTTTTTTCAGTGACTTTGAACTTGCTCAAATGACCTTGGGTCAAAGTCATGACACATCCTCAGGTCATGAACAATTTTTGTGTAAAATGGGAACTCACCAAGTTTATTCATAAGAAGATATGGACCAGACACGAATTATGAACTTTTTCTTTCAGTGACCTTGAACTGCCAAAATGACCTTGGGTCAAGGTCATGACACACCCTCAGGTCATAAGCAATCTTTGTGTAAAATGGGAACTCACCAAGTTTATCCATAGGAATCTATGATAGTCATGAACAATCTTTGTGTGTAGTAGTAGATTCTAATGTTCCTCTGTAAGAAAGATATGGACTGGACAAATTTGCACAGACAGACAGACAGATGGACAGACGGATAAGGTGATTCCTATGTACCTCCCCAAACTTCATTTGCTGGGGGTTTAATTACTGACAAACGAACTTATGCTACTGAATGCCATGCAGTATAGAAAATTTTTATTAAAAATGGTATGGCACCAGACTGTGTGTGAAATGTAAAGAGAGAGTATTTTTGAGTAACCCATGACATTAATTTTGATGTTACAATGCTGTTAAATTTGCTCTGAGATAACAAAAAATGTTAATTTTAAAATTAAATGACAAATTCCATTTAATCATATGGAATGAAACTTCACTAAAAACTATTTTTACATATGAAAATGAACTGATCTTAATTTTCTTAGATCGACACTGTCCGTTAACTTTTCAAACAATCCTTGCACATACATGTAAAATAACAGAAAATTTATAGTTTCTCCTCTTTTCAGTATGTGAATAATCCTAGAAATTAGAATATCTAATTATTACACATGATTATAAGCAGAGGAATTTAATTCTGAACTGAGTAAAATATAATACACATACCTCAACTAATTTTTCTCTTGCCTGTTCTACAGTAGTATCAAAACATTCTGAAACAAAACACACAAGGAAAAAATAAACTGAAAACTAGCTGACACAGAAAAGGCCTCAGTAAGGGCTGTAAGAGGAAAGTGACAACTGTACTTAGAAGATATACATTCATACATACATAAATGCAAAGTGATATGACCCTTTAATCTATTAAATCCCTTCTTTTACATTCATACAGATGGGCAATACAATTCCAATAGAACTCTGGCAATTTCATGCAGGGCCCTACTAAATCAAACCCTTTTCAGAGCAACAGAAACATAGCACACATGGACAAACTCTAACAAGTCCAGTTTCTATCAGATTTGTTATACATGTTATATATGTATGTTGAAAAAAAATGCAAAAATGTTGTCCATCTCCAATGTCATTGGAACCTGAAATATAGGTCAAACAGCAAAGCTATGATCAATCATATTATTATAGAAGTATCCTCAGGTACTATAGATTCAAGTTTGTTCCAATCATGACCCCTGGGGGTAGGGCAGGACCACAACAGGGGTCAAAGTTTACCATAAGAATATATAGGAAATATCTTTAAAAATTTTCTTCTCAAGAACAGCTAAGCCATTATTATAGTCATATTAATACAGAAGTATCCTCAAGTGGTGTATATTCAAGTTTGTTCAAAGCATGACCCCTGATGGTTGGGTGCAGACACTACAGGGGGCAAAAGTTTTACATAGGAATATACATGTATAGGAAATATCTAAAAAAAAATTCTTCTCAACAATAGCAAATCCATTATTATATAGTCATATTAATATAGAAGTATCCTCAGTTAGTGTAGATTCAGATTTGTTCAAATCATGACTCCTGGGGGGTATGACAGGGCCACAACAGTGGGTCAACTTTTTACATAGGAATATAATGGTGTAATCAAATTATAACCCCCCCCCCCCCCCCCCCCACTGGAGTTGGGGGCACAACAGAGGGTCAAAGTTTTACATAAGAATATATAGGAATCATCTTGAAAAAATCTTCTGCTCAAGAGCAGCAAAGCCATGATTAGTCATATAATTATAGAAGCATCCTCAGGTAGTGCACCCGGTAGATTCAAATTTGTTCAAATTTAGGGTGGGTAGGTTGGGGCCACAATGAGCGATCAAAGTTTTACACAGGAATACAAAGAAAAAAATCTTTAGAATTCTTCTGCTCTAGAACAGCAAAGCCATGGTTAGTAATATTAATATGGAAGCATCCTGGTGGTGTAAATTTAAGTTTGCCCCCCCCCCCCCCCCCCCTTATTTGAGTTTTGGCATCACAACAAAAGTGTCATGGATATACATTCAAACAAATGTACAGATAGACAGACAAGTAATTTGACCCAAAAATCTATAGGTGTCCTGATATTATTGTAAATTACATATGTACAAAATTTGAAAACATTTCGTTATCAGGTCACAACAAAAGTGATGTCGGAAGGACGTACAGATATACAATATGATTCTTCTAGGGCTCCTGTATTTTCATGCAGGCACTTATTATTTGAGTGTCAGTAATATTTTTAATTTTTTTCCACTAAATATATTCATAGCATCTGGTGCATTGAATTTCATCATTTTAAATCTAAATACAAGAATTGTACATAATATCTTTGCTGTGATTTCAAGCTCAAAGTACAAGTTATGAAACAAAAATGTTGCAGTTTGTTGCAACAGTTTCCTGTTAAACATACACCATGATAATAAACTGCAGTATTTTAAAGTTCTTTGATGAAAAAATGTCTCTGTCAGTTAATTTTCTCAAAAAAGTTCATCAACATTTACCTTTACTTTCTGAAACCGGATGTGGAAAGTCATTTAAATGTCTAAGGAGAATTTCTTTCATTTTCTCTGTTCCAAAAACATAGGGAACTTCCCAATCTTTTCCCTTGCAGAACCCTCCGAATTCTTCCCCATTTTCCCAACAATGGTTGCACTACAAATTAATATCAATAAAGTTAATCCAAACTTCAACATAAACATGATAAATAAACGTGTTTCCAAAAAGTTCATAATTACAAGTATTATTATTCAATACATTGACATAATTGTTACATGTATATCAAAAATTTAGTAAATGGACTATATATTTTCAGATTTAAATGACTTAAATCTGCAGTATTCTAGATTATTTATTAGAAAGAAAACATGCTGCATTACATGCATCTGTAGCTGGTGTATGCATTCTTGGAGTGTGTCCAGTTTTGGTTGTTGTTGTTCTCTTTTATATGGAAAATAACCACTTATCTGGTTCCTTAGTTTCTTCTGTTGAGAATCTCTGTCTAAAAATATAAAAACAAGAACAGCAAAGCCATGATTGGTCATATCTATGTGCAAGCTTCCTCAGTTTGTGTAGATTTAAGTTTGTTTTAATCATGACCCCCAGGGGTAGGGTACTGGGCCCACAATAAGCAACCAAATTTTTGCAAAGGACTTTATAGGAAAAATATTTAAAAATCCTCTAAAGAACAACAAAGCCATGATTAACCATATTTATATGGAAACATCCTCAGAAACTGAGTAGCTTGAGTAAATTAAAATTTGCTCAAATCATGACCCCTGGGGGTTAGGCAGGGCCAAGAGGATCAAATTCACACAAAGGAATATAAAGGAAATATTTTTAAAAAATTCTTCTCAAGGTCAGCATACCTATGATTAGTCATATTAATATACAAGAATCCTCAGGTAGTGTAGACCTATTCAGTTTTGTTCAAATCATGACCCCAAGGGTAGGACAGGCCACAACAGACAATCAAACTTTTATATAGAAATATATAGGAAAAAATTCTTTATAAATCTTCTAAAGCTATAATTGGTCAAAGAAATATAGAAGCATCCTCAGTTAGTGTAGATTTAAGCTATAATCCCCAGAAATTACATGCAAATGAAAAAAAGGTATTTACCATAATTTTTGATAGACTATGTAATGTTACAGAAACACCTCAATCTCTTGTTATGGAATTTCTGTTTTGAATAATTGACTAGAATATGTCTAAAGGATTTGTTATCACAACCTCTACCAATTAATATGGACCTGCTGATGTGACTATTAAACATTATACAGTATACAGTTAAAGTATAACATTGAGGGAGTTAGCAAGATTCCAGTTCCCCAAGGCCAGGACTATTTCGCGAGGCGAAGCTGGAATCTTGCTAACTCTGCCATGATATACTTTTAACTGTTTTATTACACCGATACAAACGTAAAATTTAGAGGATTCAGAGAGCGTGATTTCAAAGCAGGGATTAGCTTACTGAACTAACACACGGGGATTAGTCCTTTCACGTATCATACCAATGTAAAAGTAAAATCTAGAGGATTACGGATAACTGGGAATTAGCTTTCGAAGCAGGGATTAGCTCACTTGACTAACGCACAGGATTAGTCCACTCATAACGATTTCTAGGGAATAAGTCACATCTAACGAACTAATGTTATGTAAGGAAAAAATCAGTAGAGGTATTATAAAAATAACTAACTTAAAAGATTTCTGTACCTTGTAGTAATAATTACCTCTACATGTTGCACATGCTGGCTCTCTACAGTTACATGAGAAGATTTCATATGGTTTCCCTTTATAATATTTTGATGGTTTAACTTCTCTATTTTTGGTTAAATTCTTCCAATTCTCTTCCACATCACTACCACTTATAAGTGCAAAAAGGTCATCTACCCATGGATTGTCTATATCCAATACAAAATGGCACACGGAAAAAAACTCAGTATTGACTTTCTTCTGGTCCTCTGTTCCCCATCCAATACTCAGCACAGAGTCTGTAATTTCCTTCACATTGTTTTTCCCAACCAAGCTGCATTCTTTCAGGACTTCAATGTGACTTTTTTCCCTTTGTTTTATTGTATTTATAATCTTCTCCTTACTTAAACCACTGATTTTCTCTAAAAGGCCTGGGTTGTTTTGCTGATTGGTCATGTTTTGTTCTCTATCAATCTCTGAAGTCTTTCTACGTTACATCCAACAGTTAGGAACAGCGGTCCAGCCTTTCCTACATCCTGTAAAAGCAATTCAAGATGTTTAGTAAGGTACAAACTTTAGCACAAATAATATGTTCCTATGTGTGCCTATTAGTAACTTGTTTATCTCAAATCCTTTTTTTTAATAAATTTGTAGGTTGTCAAAATCTCAAGACTTATTGAGTGTCTTAATGATTAAAAAATTTAAAAACAAGACTTTGAGAAAAGCTGGTAACTATGGGCACACATAATGGAACTTGTTTCTTTCTAAATTTAATTTTTCTCTGGTAAGAGAGATAACTTAACACTGGTCTGGAAATTATTCCAGCAATTCAATGAATTGTCTTACCAGAATTTAATAATGAGGACCATTATATAGTCAATTCAATCAAATCTGGATTATGTTACAAAATTTAATATTTAAAACTTTCTATTTCATTATGCCAATATTTTTGATAGTTAATAGTTTACCTAAAGCATTTGCACTCAGTTCGTTTAAACTGTTAAAACGCTAAACAAAGAAAAAAATTGGAATGGCCTAACACTGTTTACAGTACAGCTAGTGTGTTGTGATTTTTTGGGGGGGACTATTTTGATGAAAACTCTTAGACTCTTTCAGTAAATTCAATTCTTAATGTTGTCTAATCTGGAATGTTGTCTATTGCAACAAACTTCTTTGCAACTAGTGGTGTCTGGATTTGACAAGCTTAACCGTATTTATCTATCATTCTGCCTTCACTGTCTTAACTCACTGTTCCTGTTTGCTCCCTTGTGACTCACTGTAGTGAGTTACAGTAAATAATAGTTACTATATGTCTAGTATTAGAATAATCAAGCAATAAAAATTCAATCAAAGAAAGCAGTGTTTCTTATTCTCTTAAACTTAGACATTTGCTCTTGCTTACAAAATTCAGAAAAAAAAATTGCAGTAAAATCAATACTGAAAATAATGCTTTATTCAGAGAAAGTAACCACAACCATGCTAATCCTACCTTCCCCAGCCCTGACCCTCTAAATTTCAAACAATAAACACATTAAAAACAAAAATTATCAAAAATGTACACATATTGATAAGCTCCTTCATGCAATAGGATGTACAAGAAAATTTTATTCACATATTTTGTAGTACATGTACAGTACATAAACATCTTGTCAATTAATGCATACAGGAAAATGAATGCTTGCAGCATTGCAAATATGCATGAACAGTAACATGTATAGGTCTTGATGATTACCTGATCATGAGTATCAAGAATATTTTCATATAATTTTATAATTCTGATCCTTTTTTTATTCAAGTATCAAAGGACTCAAAGACATCAAATGGTGAGAACATGAAATCAAGAGTGGATTGTTCATCAAGAGTTTTACATGTATTTCAGCAATATTAAAACAAAAGCTGGTAATTTTATTTTACGAGTGGTGCTTCTCACAAAATTATGCAAATAAATTTCTGACATTTATATAGTAACCTACAGTACAGACCATTAAGGAGCCTAATTACAGGACCCAGATTTTTTTTTTTTGGGGGGGGGGGGGGGGGGGGGTGCTAATATTGCTCAGTTACACTTACATTTTGCCTGCTGGAACCATGAAATTCAGTTTTTGTTTATTTGAACTATGAATGCTATATACCAAAATTGAATGAAATGTGGTTCAGCAAATCTTATTCTTTAGGGGGAAAAAATTTAAGATAATTTTGAAGAAATGATGACACACAGTAAATCAAACTAATATGAAAGCATCTTCAAGTAAAGCTGATTCATACTTGTTCATATTGTGAAACCTTGAGTTTAAGTAGATCACAAAAGTACGTCAGAATTTTACATAAGAAAATATTTGGAAAATACCAATTTACAGCTTTTTCAAGCTCAAGTCTCAAAAAAAGTGTAGATTCAAGCTTGATGAAGTATTTTCCCTGAATCAAGGGTGAGGCAACAATGGGGAAATGAAAATCTTTTTCTTAAAATACTGTATGGCCAAGATGACTCAGGTGTGCAGGTCTGAAGCCTCTTATTACCGTAAGTTTTGGAAGACAAGACGATACTTTTTTTCTCAGAACTGCTGGGGTCGTCCTATTTAACGAATCGTCCTATCTAAGGCTCAAGTTTACGAAAAATGCCCCCAAATCAGTAAAATTAACGTCAATTTTAAAGGAAATCTGTGCCATTTTCGTATTTTTTAAAATTATTTTCCCGAAAAAAAAATAAACAAAGAATTAATTAATTATTTATTTCATTGATTTCTTACAAAATAAGTTCCATTAAATATCCGTCGATGTACAAAAAACTTATAATATCATCTAGTAAATAATGTCTCAAAGTAGATTTACAAAATGTTGTGTCCATCTTGTGAAGTTGGAAGTCGCAATCGTTTACTAAAAATAAAACCGCAACCGTATCAAAGTTTAAAATACGGAAAAGTTTTTCACAATCGCAAAACAGTAAAGTTGGAAACAAAATAAAGGTTGGAATTCACAATGAAAAGATTGCACAGATGCCAGATTAGATTTTTTTTTCAAACTAATTGCTTTGATACTGGTACCATTGAACTTTAATCTTGATTAAATAAAAGTAAAATTAAATAAAAGTAAAATTCATAACTGAATAGGCGTCTCCATATGAGTGAAAAATTCTCGAGAGGGACGTTAAACAACATACAAACAAACAAACAAACATAACTGAATATTTTGCAAAGGCTGACTCTGTGCTTCTTCAGAAAGAATGAGTTTTCTAAACATTATTTAAAAAACATAGTTAATCAGAGATTACAGAGCTTGCAGTTACTTGGGAATGGACTTACCTAAAACCTTTAAACTAGTCACTCATCCAGAAAATTTATGTCATATCCAGCATCTGAAGCAAGTTTGAGAGTGTTCATCCCATGATGCATCATCCATGCAAGTTTGGTTCAGATAGCCCTATAGATTACTTTAACCTCGTCACTCATCCAGAAAATGTAGGTCAGATCCAGCATCCTACATAAGTCCAGCAGTGTGCATCCTCAGATGTATCATCCATGCAAGTTTGGTCAATACAGGGCTTATAGTTGGAAATGAGACCTTCTCCAAAAACTTTAACCTGGTCACTCATCTGGAAAATGTAGGTTAGATCCAGCTTCCGAAGCAAGTCCAGTAGTGTGCATCCTTAGATGTATCATCCATGCAAGTTTGATCAATATAGGGCTTATAGTTACTTGGAAATGAGACCTGCTCCAAAAACTTTAACCTGCTCCAAAAACATCAACCTGGTCATTCTTCAGCTGAAATTGCAGCATCTGAAACCTTGACTGGTACAATGAAACATACTAGAAGCATCCTCCATGCATCTCTTATTAATAAAGGGCATAGAAGTACTTGAAAAGAAATCTGCTCCATAAACTTTAACCTGGGATGAGGGTATTACATAAGCTCCCCCAACTTCGTTGAGGTGAGCTAAAAATCAAGGCCAATCTGAAAAGCATTCATATGGTGCCATTCCAAAGTTGTGTGGATTCATTTTTTTTTCTAAATAATAGATCCTGAGGTTAAAGTAAGGCTGAATTCAAGGGAAATTTTCATCTTAAGTGCATGTTTACCTCTTCGGCAGAACAACAAGGCCTTGTTATTTATAATCATATTAAAAGTATCCCCAGAATGAGTTGATTCAAGTAAGGTTATGTCATATCCCTTTTGGGATAGGGTACTAAGGGCCAAAATATGGAGAAAGAATTTTTCATGTGAATAATAATGGAATTTTTTTAATCTTGTGTTTAACTAGTGCTAATTATAATGGGAACCATTACAAATGTTCCCCAAACGCTCTCTCACTCCCTTATGGGCCCCATTCCCTACCAGATTCATTAAATTAGGCTATTTTTTGTGTAATAAATCTACACTTTATTTTCAGTAGTATTTACTCGAAAAACAACACTGGTAAAGATCTTCGAGTATTAGCCAATCATATTTCAGAGCACGCACATACCCATGTTTTCTAGAAATATCATGTCTTCCTCATAAAGAGATTCACAATAAATACCTATGTAAGGAATCTCAAACATTTTAATTGAAAACTATGAGGGATGCAGCCGTATAAGTATTAGCCAATCAGAATCATTAGTACAATGTAGAAACCATTATACCTATCTATATTCTAAATTTCATCCTGTTTTAATGAAAACTAAGAAAGTTACATGCAGCCATTTAAAGTTTAAGCCAATCAAATTGCAGCACACGTGCATGCACACGTTTTCACGATATCTCATATATATCATAATATAGAACTTCCTTATGTATGACTATGTTTTAAATCTCAAAGCATTTCATCAAAAAACAAAAAACTTATTGAGATTTTTTGTTTCAGCCAATCAGAGAAAAGCACATGTGCATGCACCTGCTTTCTTGCTAATTCAACCACTTCTTCTTATCTACATCACTAATATATGTTTATATGATAAGGTTAAAAGCATATTATCAAGAAATAAGAAGGTGAGGCCCAAAATTAATTAATAGTTTCTCAGGCCAAAAATTTCAAAATTCAATGCAGCAGGCAGGTTCTTTTTTTTTTAGCAGGTGTTATCTCTTTTTTACATGTATTTGTTTGTTTGTTGTTTCACACCCCTCTTGAAAATTTTTCATTCACATGGAGACGCCACCACTTGCTGGTGGAAATCTGCAAATTTTGACCTATGCTTGGCACTCAGGGCCATTGAGCAGTGAGGGATCTTTTTTGTGCCAGCACCTACTGTACATGTGACATCGGTTTATACGGTCTCATCTGAAGGACTAGTCTCCATGTCCCACAGTGGAATTCGAACCCGCGACATAAGGATCAACTCCTTACTCCGCGACTCTAGAGCAAACGCTCTAATCACTGCACCAAGAGGGCGACTCTTTTTTTTATGAGTGGTACTGTTAAACAAAATGATGATATCAACTGATTCTTACTTTTTTGTTCTCTTAAATTAATTATAATATATACTCAACTTTAAATAATGTTATTTCAAACATTTGTTTAAAAGTTAATGCAAAAAAATAAGTATTAACAAGAAATATATTGTTTATCTGATAAAAACATCTATTTTTCAGCATGGATGTAAAGGGAAATAACTCAATTTTCTTTTTCAACTTGGAAAATTGAGTCATTTCCGTTTTCAATATGTCAATAAAATTGATCAATGCGGCAGTGCATGAGAAACTATCAATTAATTTTTTTGGCCTTAAAGCTTTTTCAATTGAATCAGTCATTTTACTCCTCATATGCATGTGCAAGCAAGTTTGCACGAATGATCTTCGTTCCGCACATCTACACAACATATCTGTAAACCCTAAAAAATTTCATCTTAATTGGATGAGTAGTTTCTGAGAACACTCGCAGACATAAAAGTACTGGAGAAGAAATTTTTAAAAAAGAAAGTAAAAACATGTTCCTAAACTTTGTTTGGGGAACATAATAACAGCAGCTTCATTCAGGTGAATTTGCAGCCCATGGGTCATTTGTTTTATATGGATATACTTCCTGAAAAATAATATTTTATAACAAATTCTTTAACAAAAAAGGCATTTCTCTTCTCTGAAAAGGAGGCTCAAGAGCATATCAAATTAAGAAATGTGTCTGCTTGTCCATGGTAAGATCTTCAAATCCTCCAAATCTATATTTTCAATGAAACTTGTCGGCAACTATGGAAATGAATTGCTGAATTTAAGTTTTTTCGTCCCTAGTCAAAAAATTTATGATAAATAAAAAATGTTATAAATATTGATGGGGTCATTAAATTCCTAATTTCTTTTTAAAATATTGATCCCCTATACCAGTAACCTACCTTACCCCATGCCCAGATTTAACAAACTTGAATCTGCACTTAATGGGAATGCTTGAATCAAATATCACTAATCATGATTCTTCTGTTCTTGAAAAGATTTTATTGTAAAACATCTTCCCTTTGTATTCCCACGTAAAACTTTGATACCCTTTTGTGGATCCAGTGGTGCCTCCACCCTAGGGGCCATGATTTGAGCAAACTTGATTCTGCACTCCCTTTGAATGCTTGTATAATAATGTTGCATGATCATGGCCCACCTGTTCTGTAAAACATTTTAAAACAAAACATGCACTATCTAAAGATGCATGGTTCTGCTGTTCTTGAAGAAAATTTTTTTAAAAAAAAAAAATCCTATATATTCTCCATGGTAAATTTTGATCCCATATGTATTGCCCAGCCTACCATCAGGGGTACAATTTGAGCAAACTTGAATTTGCACTTCCTAGGGATCTTGCAAATTGCAATTTAATATCAGTGATCATGGGCCTACTGTTTATCAGAAAAAAAGATTTTAAAACATTTTTTCCTATATTTTTCCATGTAAAACTTCGATTCTGAACAAACTTGTATCTGCACTTTCTGAGGACGAATGCACCTTCATATCATTTCTCTAATGAAAACTAAATCTTATACATGTATTTCTCGCTCTCTCTCTCTCTCTATATATATATTCATTTTTTTTAAGACAATAGCTTTTCTTTCAAGGAGTATTCAATTGAGCTTTGATTCCGCAATCAAATATTGTGGATATAATGATTCCATAAGAATCAATGATGAAAAGTTATTAATAGAAACGAGGAAGAAACAGCTGCTTTGACAGTTGATCTGTTACTACAGGCAGCCTGGGAATAGTGTTCCATGTTCCATCTACCAGATCCCAGTTCATTCGATTTTTTATGAACTTTTCCAATTTTTTATTTGTTCTCAAAATAACTTCATTAAATTCAATGTAATTTTCCTCTTCCTTGGAATCTTCATCCACTTTTTTCTTGGAAACTTTTTTTTCGTCTTGCAAGCTTTTCATAGTATTACAAAAATACTTTATGAAAGTGCAGGATTGGAGAGCTGCTTTGCCCTGAGGATTCTCTGAGGAGAGTTTTATCAGACATGGATGCCAGTCATATTCTCCTATAAAAAGGGATAGATGATTATATATGGATCTAAACTTAAAGGTGCTTGGACACAGATTTGAAGTTAATATTTTCTCAAATCTTCTGTATAATTACATGACTTATATGTTGCTATAGCATTTCATACTAAAATATAATAAAAATCTTATTTCATCTTGAAGTTTAACTTAACGGAACAAACAGATCTCCAACACTTCGTGAGAATACATAAGTGAATTTATTTAGTTGACCGGTTTCGACCAGAGATGGTCGTCATCAGAACAATTATACAAGAAGTTTTATCTATTGAAGTAAAAATTGCAGATGGCGTTGCTATAAACAAATAAAATTGCGGAAGATTGATACTGCATGCGGATTAGATTTACATACTATAATTCTTTGACATCATAAATGAATAGTTATGTATGACTTAAAATACAATACATAGAATGTCTGTGTAGAGTGATTAATTAAATAGTCCATAAATTCCATGAATTGTGATTGATCTGTGCTGTAAACCTGGTGGGAGCTCATCTAAGCAGACGGTTTCTGTAGATGTTGATTTTGAGGGATCACGGAATTTTGGTTTGTTGGCTGGTACTATTCTGAAGATTGGTTTTTTCATAGTTCTTGGTTGGCTTTCAAATGGGCGATTCCATTTCTTTGGTTTTTTGGCCATTTCTCTGGGATTGGTACAAGTAAATATAAGAGTTTCTTTAAATTCCGTATCTGGATGGTCTTTAGTAATATGACGTTTGGCTACATCTTTTCGGCAGTAAGATTTTTTGCAAATATCACAATAGTATCTGGTTACAATAGGATTATGTTGTAGTTCATAGTGCCTTTTCAAGTTGCTTGCTTCTTTAAATTTGCGGTTGCAGTTAGTGCAATGAATGTCCATTTGTTTTGTTTCCGATTCCTCTGGATTATCTGGATGTTTTCTCTTTGTGTATTTTACGTTAACCATACTTTTGATTCAATCCTTGTGGATGTAGAGTTTTGAATATATGTATAAAGGCTTCTTCTGTTCTTAGACGTTGGTTTATGTCGTTTGTGATTTTCACGAGCGGCATGATGGAAACGTCCTGTGGAGTGTGTGATTGTGACGTGTTAGATTGTGACGTATTGGTTTGTGACGTGAAGTGTCGGGACACAGGTTTGTGTTGATTGGCAGCTTTGATATTGGTGAAATGTCCATACATGTGATCTCTGAGGGAGTTGCCTGTTTGGCCGATGTATTGAATAAAACATTTTTTATATGTAATTGCATAAATTACGGAAGTGCTGTTACAGTCAAGATTTTGTTTTATGGAGTAGATTTTGCCTGTGAAAGTAATTTGGATGTTATTTGTATTTCTGACAAATGGGCAAATTTTACAATTCTCGTAACATGGATGGCTTCCAATGTTATCAGGGCCGGAGTTTAACTTTGAATGGACTAGGATACTTCTTAAATTGGGAGGTCTTTTGTATGCTACATGTATAATGATTCTGTCCATCAATTCCTTAGTATCTGGGGATTGTTCTAAGATAGTCTTGTATTTATTGATTATTGAACGGAAATCAGGATTAAGTCTGTTGAATGTTAATAATCTAGGCGAACTATCTACCACTCGATACACGAAACCCACCAATGCCCATTTATATTTACACTATAACTCTAACCACCCGAAACACATGTTGAGGAGTATTCCATTCAGCCAATCATTAAGGATCAGACGAATATGCTCAACTGACATCGAATTTGAAGCACACACAACAAAAATGAAGGAACATTTTCTAGCTAGGAACTATCCACCATCAATGCTTCAACAAGCTATAGATAAAGCCAGAAAGTACAATTGTAACAACCTGCTCATGGAGAACAACAAAACACATGCAAAACGTGTGATTCCTCTAGTTACAACATTCAACAGACTTAATTTATGCAATTACATGTAAAAAATGTTTTATTCAATACATTGGCCAAACAGGCAACTCCCTCAGAGATCGCATGTATGGACATTTCTCTGATATCAAAGCTGCCAATCAACACAAACCTGTGTCCCGACACTTCACGTCACAAACCAATACGTCACAATCTAACACGTCACAATCACACACTCCACAGGACGTTTCCATCATGCCGCTTATGAAAAATCACAAACGACATAAACCAACGTCTAAGAACAGAAGAAGCCTTTATACATATATTCAAAACTCTACATCCACAAGGATTGAATCAAAAGTATGGTTAACGTAAAATACACAAAGAGAAAACATCCAGATAATCCAGAGGAATCGGAAACAAAACAAATGGACATTCATTGCACTAACTGCAACCGCAAATTTAAAGAAGCAAGCAACTTGAAAAGGCACTATGAACTACAACATAATCCTATTGTAACCAGATACTATTGTGATATTTGCAAAAAATCTTACTGCCGAAAAGATGTAGCCAAACGTCATATTACTAAAGACCATCCAGATACGGAATTTAAAGAAACTCTTATATTTACTTGTACCAATCCCAGAGAAATGGCCAAAAAACCAAAGAAATGGAATCGCCCATTTGAAAGCCAACCAAGAACTATGAAAAAACCAATCTTCAGAATAGTACCAGCCAACAAACCAAAATTCCGTGATCCCTCAAAATCAACATCTACAGAAACCGTCTGCTTAGATGAGCTCCCACCAGGTTTACAGCACAGATCAATCACAATTCACGGAATTTATGGACTATTTAATTAATCACTCTACACAGACATTCTATGTATTGTATTTTAAGTCATACATAACTATTTATTTACGATGTCAAAGAATTATAGTATGTATGAAAATAATGTAAATCTAATCCGCATGCAGTATCAATCTTCCGCAATTTTATTTGTTTATAGCAACGCCATCCGCAATTTTTACTTCAATAGATAAAACTTCTTGTATAATTGTTCTGATGACGACCATCTCTGGTCGAAACCGGTCAACTAAATAAATTCACTTATGCATTCTCACGAAGTGTTGGAGATCTGTTTGTTCCGTTAAGTTTACTACTTTTGATCCAGACCCTATTGAATACCACGTGGTATCCACTCGTGAGAATCTTCCATAATTTCAACCTTAAGGTGTTGGTTTCCAGTCTAATTTTGTTTCATCTTGAAGTTATTAAAACTTCGAATTTCTGGACGCATTGGATTGACACATCCTTGCGCTTTCACATATTTTAATTTTATTCTTAATACTTAAGAAAAGTGGCAATTTTGTTGCTCAGTGGTGTGTGCAGAGTTTAACAATTGAACACACCCGTTGAATTGTAAACATTAACAATAACAGAGCTTGTGCCCTGTTTACAAAAACAGTTTACGTTTCACGGGTGTGTTCAATTTGTTAAACTCTGTTCACATGACAGAGCACGGACTGACAATACTGGTGAGTTGGTTTTGCTTTCGAACATTTCTACTCTGAATTTTTTGGATTAAAGATGTAATATTTTTCATTAATATATAACAAAATCGCTTCTTTTCTTAAACATCAAGTATAAAGTTAAAATCTGTGTAAGTGCAAAGATGTGTTAATCAAACGCGTCCCGGAATTCGTAGTTCCAATAATTTCCAGATAAAATAAATTTTTAATTTTATTTTCATGTGAAATGCTATTTCAATATATAAGTCATGATATTATACAGAAAATTTGAGAAAATATTAAGTTCAAATCTGTGTCTAAGCACCTTTAAAGGACTTTCTACTTCCATCTGATTCAGCTATAATTGCAAATCAATCATCCTTGCTTTTAAATATCATGCTTTAACTTCAATAGGGAAAGTTTCTTAATACACTACTGGGCTATTTAAGTATACACTGAAAAGGAAATGGGTGAACACAGCGTGCAGAAAGCCTATAGCTTCAGATATATAAAAATCATGTTCAATTTGTGAATTTTATATTCAGAGTAACGTTCTCATTATTGAAGTTCATGAAATTATGATAAACAAAACTTTTCTGAAGAAAATTTTCCTGGCAAAATTTATTCTTTTATTTAAAAAATAATGTGGTATTCGTGGGTTCGAACCCTAGCAATAAAAATCCTTAGTAACATTTTCTTGCTAGACTAGCATGCTAACCACTAGACTACACAAGTCCTGATGAATAGTGGCATTTAAATCATGTTTGTGCTATGACCCTTGACTGAATGAACTTCAAGTATTTCTCAGAAAGATGCGATTGTTGTGTCATAAAAGTATATTTTTAAGGTATAGTACGTGGGTCTTTGCTCCATGTTTTTGGTAACCAAAAGATGTATATTTTTATGCAAACTTTGAGGATTAACTTTTAAAAAAATGGAGCGAAGACCCACTCATATCGAAAAATAGTGTTATAGTATGAGAAAATGACTCTTTTTGCCCTCTTTAGTGTGTGTATAATGTTTCATAGGCAAATAATTTCAATCTTTGTGAGATTTTTGGAAATTGTAGAGATTTTACATAAAGTAAATTTTAATGTTAGATGAAATATCAAGGAAAATTTTGATATAATTGAGATCCAATTTTTCACCTTCATGTTTGTCACACTATAAGCTTTTCGCTCATCATGTTCACCCATCTTCTTTATAAATTTATTTCCTTTTGCTCAAGAGAAAATTATTTTTCAAATAACCCATCCTATTTAATGAAATATCTTATTCTTAAATCAAAATTGTAAAATGCATTATTGAAAATATAATTAAACAGAAGTCTCTAATAATACATCTTCGCTAGCCAAGGGTTTCTGATACGCTACTCTCCTCATAAGCCCTTGGCATACGGTGTTCAAAAAAGTTAGGATTTTTTTCTCAAGTTGTGATTGGAGTTGATCGACATCGTTCGACCAATCAGCAATTGTTTTTTGAAAATGACGACATTTGCGTTCAGGATATATCTTGACTCTTTAATATCGGTAATGTAAAACGAAAGTAAACAATGATGCCATTCTATGAATAGCTATATGGTCATCCAATATCTAAAGCTACGTGCAAAATATGTGATTAAGAATCTATACTGAAGATGTAGATTTGCATTTTTACATGTTTAAATAACAAATTAACATAACTCGATACCTTCTTGTAAATTATTCTTTAAAAACAATTTTTTTTTAAATACGCTTTTTATTTCTGTCGATGACGCAATCTGTGCATACCTAGTAAGAATCGTGATCACGTGACAAAAACAATCCCGTCTTTTGTCAGCACCGTATGCCAAAGGTTTATGAGGAGAGTAGCGTATCAGAAACCCTTGGCTAGCAAAGATGCTAATAATACTGTAGCTCTACTGGTTTGTTACAGTTATAACAGAAGAGGTGATACACAGAATAATATAATTCCGGGTAATACACTTGTGTAAATGTACCAAGTTTTACCAATATAAGTTCAAAACTATAGGAGAAGTAGCTTTTTGAAAAATAAAAAAAATCACAGATGTTTCAATTTTTAGTAACTATGGAAACATGGTTCAAGGATATCAAAAATACATACACAGAATTATGAATCCTAGTGTGTTCTAATTGTGTATATTGTGTTTTATTGAAATCACATCAATACTGTAAGAGGGAAAGTGTTTTGAAAGAATCTGATAGAAATTTCTATTTTAGTAACCATGACAACACTCCATGAAAATCAGAAACAGAGAATTGTGAATCTTAGTATTGTCTGTTTGTTTACAAGTTTAATTGATATAAGACATAAACTATAATAGGAGGAGTAGCATTTTGAAAGAATTTTACAGAAATTTCTAATTGGAACACCTAGCTCTCAAGGAAATCAGCAAGAGGCCCATGGGCCACAATACTCACCTAAGTCAATATGGTCCTGATGTTCTTCATCAGCAGATTTTTTCTATTATATATATTCCTATGTAAAACTTTTATCCCTACTGTGACCCCACCCTACCCCCAGGTGTCATGATTATTATAGATGTAACCCCACCCTACCCATCAGGGTCATGATTTGAACGAACTAGAATCTACACTACCTCAAGGCACTTCTATGTCTATGTGAATAAACATGGCTTTGCTGTTCTTGATAAAAAGATTTTATAGAATTTTTTCCTATACATCCACAAGTTTAACTCCGAGTGTGCATTGTGGTCCCATCCTACCCCTGGGGGTCATCATACATGTTAACCTACTGTGACGAAAAAGAGGGAGATTCAGACCTCAAAAGAGATAGCATTGCGCACATTGTTTTACGCATCGATTTAAGAAGATTCATATGTAAATATGGCCTAAAATGACCACTACAGTAATGAAACTCAAATATCAACTGCAATGAAGAAGACAAAAACACCTGCCATAAATTACACAAATATAAATATTTTTCATGCTCATCACTCGGCTTTGATTGGCTGCTCAATTTAGCCTTTTGAAGAGGGATCTTTGTTGATATAGCCTAAATGCAATAATTCTGAGTGTTCATTAAGTTGTCAAATACAGCAAATGATGACATTATTTTATTCAGATCTAAATCTAGTTCTTATCTTTCATTAAAAAAATTGGATTTCCCGGGATGACCGAAAACGAAAGTAGAGATGCAAAAAAAAGTATTAAACTGTTTAATGAATGATGATTTCTTTTTTTTTTTTTACTTTTATGAACGATGTCAAAGTTTACATCCAGTTCTAAAATACTATATCTCCCTTTTTCTTGGCAGGGATGTCGTCGAAATTTATCATAACAAATGTAATCACGGAGATTTGTGCACCTGTTGTTGTCAAACACATGCTTGAAATCTGTGTAAACAGCTGCTTAAAAAAGCATTTGTATGCTCTCAGTTCAAATCATGCAATATCTAATGAGATTATATGGCAATTGGCTTCAAAAATGGCTACCCAAGTGAACCAAAAATAGATTTTGTAGAAAAGCAGTAGATTTACGAATAGAAGTGGTAGACGATAGATTGAGTAAAAAAAGCGGTACACTTCCGCCTAAAGCGGTAGAGTTAACATGTATGGGGTCATGAAGAAACTTGAATCTATACTACCTGAGGATGCTTCCATAATAATATGACTAATCATGGCTTTGCAGTTCTTGTGATGAAGATTTTTGAAGATTTTTTCCTACATATTCCTATGTAAAAATTTTGATTCCCCATTGTGGCTCCATCCTACCCTCGGGGGTCATGATTTGAACAAAATTAAATCTACAGTATGTAAAGAAGGTTTCATAAAAGTTTCAACTTTTTTGGCTCAGTAGTTCTTGAGAAGAAGATTTTTAAAAAGATACCACCAAATTTTCAGTTATTCTTAATTATCTCCCCTTTAAAGAGGGTATGGCTCTTTAATTCATTTGAATAAACTTGAATCCCCTTCACCCAAGGATACTTTGTGGCATGTTTGGTTGAAATTGGCCCAGTGGTTCTGGAGAAGAAGTCAAAAATGTGAAAAGTTTACAGATGGATGATGGACTATAAATGTGATCAGAAAAGCTCATTTGAGCTTTCAGCTCAGGTGAGCTAAAAACTGATATCGTATTTAGAAATATGTATCTTAGTGCTGTCTACTGTGTACCAAGTTTTACTGAAATCAGTCCAATACTATAGGAGGAGTAATATTTTGAAAGAATTTCATAGAAATTTGTATCTTTAGTAACCATGGCTGATGGGAACACCACGTAGGAAATCAAAAACTATAATATATATAGAATTATGTATCTTAGTGTTGTCTACTTGTGTATCAAGTTTTATTGAAATCATCCCAATACTGTAGAAAGAGTAGCATTTTCAAAGGATTTCTTATAAATTTCTATCTTAGTAACCATGACAACACATTGTGAAAATCAAAAGCCCATAAATAGAATTATGTATCTTAGTATTGTCTTCTTGTACACAACTTTTATTTAAATTAGACCTAAACTGAAAGAATAGCATTCTGAAATTTACAGACATTTCTATTTTTAGTAGCCATGGGAACACCACTAAAGGGAATCAATTAATTATGGTCTACTTTTGTACAAAGTTTTATCGAAATTAGACAGAAAACTTTAGGAGGAGTAGACAAATGGCAGACACCCTACAATCACACAAGCTCTTCTGGTCTTTGACCATGCAGACTAAAGCTCCTGATCCTCTGAACACAATGAACAAAACTGAATATATATATATCACAAAACACATTTTTACAAGGTTTTCTTCTACATTATTTCTAATAACTAAACAGTTTTAATATTCCTTCATCTCATGCCAAGGGATACTAAGTAATAAGAAAGTGCATTAAACTTATGCTCATCTGAGCTTTTGTAAAGAAGAACCTATAGTCATGCATTGAGATTGACACACCTGAAATATTGGACTCATAGATGAGAACATCTGCTTCTCGAGGCCACCGAGACAAAAGTTTAGATCCACCCTCTACATCACCAAACAAATGCTTTCCAATGGGTTGCAGATCAATGTCACATGACTGAAAAGCAGATTCAAAATCAAAAAATTTACTACATATCATTATAGGGAAATAAGAATTAACCAGCATATTTCTAAATAACTGCAATACTAACATGAAGGTATAAAATAACAAGAGACCCATGGGCCACATCACTCACCTGAGCACATTGGCTAGGAAAAAAGCAAAAATCAGTTCAGAATTGAAAAGTTAATGGGGGGTGGGGGGTTGAATTTTAAACTACCTAATGATGCTTTCATATCAATATAACAAATGGCTTTGCTGTTCTTGAGCAGCAGATTTTTTTCCCATATATTCATTTGTAAAACTTTGATCCCCCATTGTGGCCTTACCCTACCCCGGGGGTCATGATTTGAAAAAACTTGAATCTACACTACCTGAGGATGCTTCCATATAAATATGACCAATTATGGCTTTACTGTTCTTATGAGGAAGATTTTTAAAGATATTTTCCTATATATTTCTATGTAAAACTTTGATCCCCCATTGTGGCCCCATCCTACCCCCGGGGGTCATAATTTGAACATACATGAATCTACACTACCTGAGGATGCTTCCATATAAATATGACCAATCATGGCTCTGCTATTCTTAAGAAGAAGATTTTTAAAGATATTTTCCTATATATTTCTATGTAAAACTTTGATCCCCCATTGTGGCCCCACCCTACCCCCAGGGGTCATGATTTGAACAAACTTGAATCTACACTATCTGAGGATGCTTCCAAATAAATATGACCAATCATGGCTTTGCTGTTCTTAAGAAGATTTTTAAAGATATTTTCCTATATATTTCTATGTAAAACTTTGATCCCCCATTGTGGTCCGCCCTACCCCCGGGGGTCATGATTTGTACAAACTTGAATCTACACTACCTGAGGATGTTTCCACATAAGTTTCATCTTTCCTGGCCCAGTGGTTCTTGAGAAGAAGATTTTTATATGATGCCATTATTTTTTCACTAATTCCTAATTATCTCCCCTTGAAAGAGGGCGTGGCCCCTCATTTGAACAAACTTGAATCCCCTTTACCCAAGGATGCTTCATGGCAAGTTTGGTTGAAATTGGCCCAGTGGTTCTGGAGAAGAAGTCAAACATAGGTAATCAGAGATTACAGAGCTCACCTCAACGAATGTTGTCTTTAAGTAAGGCAAAGTCCCACACTAAACTAATAATCTAGGAGTGTGCATCCCTAGATGCAACATTTATGCAATTTTGGTCCGATAGGGCTTGCAGTTACTTGGGAATGGACTTATCTTAACTTAAAACTAGACACTCATTCAGAAAATATAAGTCAAATTCAGCATCCGAAGCAAGTTTTGAGATTGTTCGTCCCTTGATGCATCATCCATGCAAGTTTGGTTCAGATAGGCCTTATAGTTACTTGGAAATGAGATCTGCTCCAAAAACTTTAATCTGGTCACTCATCCGGAAAATATAGGTCATATCCAGCATCTGAAGCAAGTCCAGTAGTGTGAATCCTAAGATGTATCATCCATGCAAGTTTGGTCAATATAGGGTTTATAGTTACTTGGATATGACATCTGCTTCAAAAACTTTAACCTGGTCACTCATCCGGAAAATATAGGTCAGATCCAGCATCCGAAGCAAGTCCAGTAGTGTGCATCCTTAGATGTATCATCCATGCAAGTTTAGTCAATATAGGGCTTATAGTTACTTGGAAATGACATCTGCTCCAAAAACTTTAACCTAGTCACTCATCCGGAAAATGTACGTCAGATCCAGCATCCAAAGCAAGTCCAGTAGTGTACATCCTTATATGTATCATCCATGCAAGTTTGGTCAATATAGGGTTTATAGTTACTTGGAAATGACATATGCTCCAAAAACTGAAACCTGGTCACTCATCCGGAAAATATAGGTCAGAGCCAGCATCCGAAGCAAGTCCAGTAGTGTGCATCCTTAAATGTATCATCCATGCAAGTTTGGTCAATATAGGGCTTTTAGTTACTTGGAAATGAGATCTGCTCCAAAAACTTTAACCTGGTCACTCATCTGGAAAATATAGGTCAGATCCAGCATCCAAAGCAAGTCAAGTAGTGTGCATCCTTAGATGTATCATCCATGCAAGTTTGGTCAATATAGGGTTTATAGTTACTTGGAAATGACATCTGCTCCAAAAACTGAAACATGGTCACTCATCCAGAAAATATAGGTCAGATCCAGCATCCGAAGCAAGTCCAGTAGTGTGCATCCTTAAATGTATCATCCATGCAAGTTTGGTCAATATAGGGCTTATAGTTACTTGGAAATGAGATCTGCTCCAAAAACTTTAACCTGGTCACTCATCCGGAAAATCTAGGTCAGATCCAGCATCCGAAGCAAGTCAAGTAGTGTGCATCCTTAGATGTATCATCCATGCAAGTTTGGTCAATATAGGGCTTATAGTTACTTGGAAATGAGATCTACTCCAAAAACCTTAACCTAGTCACTCATCCGGAAAATGTAGGTCAGATCCAGCATCCGAAGCAAGTTCAGTAGTGTGCATCCTTAGATGTATCATCCATGCAAGTTTGGTCAATATAGGGCTTATAGTTACTTGGAAATGAGACCTGCTCCAAAAACTTTAACCTGCTCCAAAAACTTTAACCTGCTCCAAAAACATTAACCTGGTCATTCTTTAACTGAAATTGCAGCATCTGATACCTTGACTGGTACAATGAAACACACTAGAAGCATCCTCCATGCATCTCTGACTAATATAGGCCATAGAAGTACTTGAAAAGAAAACTGCTCCAAAAACCTTAACCTGGGACGCCGACGCCGACGCCGAGGGTATTACATAAGCTCCCCCAACTTCGTTGAGGTGAGCTAAAAATGTGAAAAGTTTACAGACGGACGGACAGACAGACAGACAGCTAGACAAACGGACGGCAGACAAAATGTGATCAGAGAAGCTCACTTGAGCTTTCAGCTCAGGTGAGCTAATAAGGGATAGCAACTAGTACCTACTGAACTGATTTTCTTGCAGTCAGAATGATGATTATTAGTTGCAAAATCTGAAATTGGTACTTATTTTTAATGAGTTCAAAAAAAGGAATATGTGTATTTATGAATGCAGTTTCATTAAAAAATTCTTTCAATTTTAAAATTTCAAAGCAATGATAATAAGTAAGCATTTCAATATGTCTAATTAAGTTAATCAGAATATAACTCAGGCCCTCCAAAAAAACAAAACAAAACCATTGGAATAAAAGGTCAGTGTCAAATGAAGTGTTAATTTCAATGATACTGTACAATTATTGCTGTTTTTTGAGGTCAATAAGATGATTTAGACACCTGAGGAGTACAATTTTCACCGGGACCAAAGGGCGAATAGTGTAATAAGCCATTCAAATAACATTTTAATACTAAATAAATAATAAAAATTTCTTTTTACCAAAAAAAATGGGGAGTTTTTGTAGAAAATACAGGAGAAAATATTCAGTATATGTAACTAAATACAATTGTTTAAACATTGGCCTTGTCCACTGTCCAGAAATCCTTTGATTACGTGTGAATGATATTTACTTACTGTTGAATACTATAAACATTATTGTGTAACTAGATTTTAAAGTGAATCATACTCTGTCTATTCTCTGTAGTTGTCCATCAAAATATGCCGGTATTTTTTTTTAATCTAAAATTAATTGATAATTCTGACGAAAATTGCAAAATGAACTTGAAACATCTTGATTGAGATATTATTTATGTCTCTGATATCTCAGGGATTTTATAATATATATATACATATATATATATAATATGTTAGACTCCGAAGTCCGATGGTCATGCCAAAGTCTGATGGCTCGTTTCCTATATAAGATGCGCTGCGCGGATGTGCGATGGTTTGAAAAACCAAAGTCCGATGTGCAGAGAAATTGTAATATAAAATTTATATAGTGCTCTATCAATTTGAGTCCTCTAAAGTGCTTTACAATTAAAATATAACAAAAAATAATGTCTAAAATACATAAAAACGTGAATAAAATTAATCATAATGTCATTATCTAAATATAAAGCCTATTTATATTAAGAAATCACAAATTAATACAAAATATTGAGAAACAATCAATGTTTATGATGTAACAATAACCTGACATCAATCCTTGATGCCGTTGCCCATAATATGACATTCTGGCACAGTGTGAAAGGGTATCAAAATGGTATTCTCACAGTGTGAGAATATCAGAACCACAGAAGTGCGGCAAAACTTACGATTTTCCTTCCCTTCACGAAGAGAGTTTTTAACAAAATCCCTGGCCTGTTATAAGATGAGTTAATGAGCCATCCTGACAGAGACTAATAGTTATACCGCCAAAGTTTTTCCAAATAATTATGTCGTTAAAAATCCATGTTCGCAGAACAGTTAAGGTAGAACCTATGTCGGAAAAGTCTTTGTCACAAGATTTTCAAACTTTTCAAAATGATAAATTAGCACTCGCTTGTCAATCAGATAAAAATATATGGTATGTTTCCTTGTAATTAAATGTAGTATAGCCTGTGCAACTTGGAATGATAATTTTACACTGCGACTACATATTTTCAGTCATTTTTAGGGGTACTGGTCATAATGAGAATATAGAAAATCACAACAATACTTCTTCAAACATCGTCTTTTATAGACTTTATCAATTGAACCGTATTAAGCAATATTATTCAAGAATAAATTCTTTTTTATACAATTGACATAAAAGATTAAGTCCACATTTCAACGAATATAGGCAAATGTGCTCAATATTTTTTGAGTCAATTTACCACCTAAATTTGTATATATTTTTCAAAAGTCTTTGTCAGAATGTTTTCAATCTTTAATATGGTGAAGAAGATACCCAAATAATTACAAAAAGTGATTAAAATATATACCTTTCCCCACAAACAAATGAGAGACACTCTATTTATCAATACTTCTTTTGTTGACCTTTCTGCACTAACACAGGATTTATTTATTAAATGACTGTTTTGCGGTTGCGTTCAGATTTACAATGTAAATATTGATCAAAAAATGTATTTTTTTTTATTTAAAAAGATATTTTAGGGAAACATTATTATTATACACCAAACATTATGAATAATTAACAAATAATTATGAAAGGGAATGTACGTCATTTCATGATAGACATTACAAAATTTACACACAATATTAAACAGATCTTTGACCCGGAGACATTTTTATCAAGATATTGTACTATTTAGATTTCTTAGGTTTTTTTGATTTCCTTCAAAATAGTTGCATACCATTCACAGTTGTGTGACTTCATTACAAGAGGCAGTCTTGGAGAAAGTACGGGGAAAAGTAACATTAAATTAATTATGACGTCATAATGGATCTAGCATAAAAAAGACGGTCTAAACTGGTTTACTTGATATGACGTCATACGACGTAGGTTCTACGTTAAGGCTGCAATAAGGAGGCTGGGCCTAATTTTTATGGGAAATGCTTACTATGACATCACACAAAAAAACATGTTCTTCCAATTACCACAAAATGAAATGATACGCTATTTTAAACTGTTGGATAGCTTTAAACTACATCAATACTTACTATTGCATGTATTTTTGTCATTGGTTAAATCCCACACAGCAATATATAAACAATTTACTGATCGCAATGTACTTGTCAATGTGACGTCATATCGTAAAATTTGACGCAGTTTGTATGCAGTGAGAGGCGGATCAAGTTATATTTTATACAATGAAAAATGTGTTTTGTAATTAAATAAAATATTATTTGCAGATATATAAGAGGCCATTAACTTGGATGCGATGTCTATTTTATGATTTTATTCATATACTTCCCATACATTCCCTAGACAAGTGAAACTGCCGTACACTTATTTGCAGATTCATTGAAGGGTAATAGAAGGGTCGTCATAAATCGATATATTGCAAGGGCATACCCTCAATGAATTACGACAAGCTTTTACACATAAACTCAAGAAGTATGAAGATATTTGAAAAGTGCTGCGAACCTGATGAAATCTTGCAAATGAATTAATTATATCTACATTTAATGTACTTGACCAGCAAAATATTCAACATACGGTCTAACAAATGTAATTTTAGCAATTATATAGTAGAATCAATATAAGGTTCGCAGCACTTTTTACAAACTACAAAGTGTTGAAAATAATTATAAATTAAACTTAGATTTTTAACTTGGTTATGCCCTTGCAATATTGAAATTTATAGATGACCTCAATACTGCAGGTATATTTGCTAAAATCACGTGACTGCCACATTACGTGACAAATCTAAATAAGAAATATAAATGTCCTCTACATGTAGTTTTCAGCCACATTACATTTTTCCGATAATAGTAAAGACCTAAAAAGAATCGCCCATCCTTGTAAAGAATGTTTTTTCTGTCTAAAAAATTCGCCAATATTTCCATTTGGCACCTTAACTGTACTGCATTTACAACGTTTTTCAATATCGCAATGGCTTAGCTATGACGTCTCAACCGCTCAACTATGACGTCACACCCTATGACACTGTGTTATGAAAAACAAGAGGCCCAAGGGCCTTAACGGTCACCTGAGTATAAACAAACAATTTAGAAGTTAAATACACTGATAGATGAAGCTTTGTTGCCCTAAAGCAAGAGAAGTAGAAAGATCAGGATCAACAAAATAATTAGTCTAGTATTCAGTATCAACTCATAAATTAAGTTCTAATCTGTCCCCCACTTAACACTTTCATCATGCAGACTATTAACAAACTATTAGTGCTTCTGTACTATTTTTAAACCCATATTAAAACCTCTAGCATTGACCTCTCTTATGGTCTTTGAAGAACTTTTAATAAGATAAGTTATTTTTGTCTCATTTTTAATTATATCTATTACTTACAGGTCTACCTGATTATTAAAACTAAGAAAGTACTTTTTGAATTATACAATAAACATTCTTGCATAATTATCTTATTCTATTAACCTTTCAAATACATTATTTACAGTGATTAATTATCAAAGGTGAATGGAAAAGGGGAATAACTTCTCTCAGTAGAATACAAATTAATAGAGCCCTGCCCAGGACCAGAATGCTTAGACAAATGGTCCAGATGTTCAAAAATCTGGTAGAAATACTCTTATTTATATCATTTAAACTTTTACTCAGTTTGCTTCCGATATGCCCAGAAGCAGAGAAGAATTTCACAGGTACAATGCATTTTCACTACAGATTCAACAAAGCCTTACCCTAACACCAGAACCCAAGACCAAGGGTCACGAAATTTACAAATTTGGAAGAGTTACCCTCATCATCATAACTATGGATTTCAAAGAATTAAAACTTTTCTACTATATTATCAAAAGCCCCCCCCCCCCCCTCGTTATGCCAGAACCCCTGACCCTAGGACCACAAGATTTAAAAATTCTGTTCGAAGCTCCCATTTTCATCATAGCTAAGCAATTTATTTATCAGCTCAACACTAAGGAGCAGACAGGATTAATTAATAGAATTAATGATTTTTCAGTATATAATCAATAGACCCCCCCCCCTCCTCAAGAACCCCAAAAACTGAGGCCAAATATTTAAAAATTTTGGAAGAGGCATCCTTGCCTATCATAATCATGCACTTACATGTAGTTTGTTTAAATAATCTCCAGAAGCAGAGAAGATTTTCAAAGAATCAATGCATTTTCACTATACATGTATAATCAATAGAGCCCCGCCCTAACACCAGAACCCGTGACCCTGGGGCCATGAAATTCACAATTTTGGTAGAAGCACTCTTGCTCATCATAACTATGTACTTAGGTACGTTATTTAATATTCAGGAGCAGAGAAGAAGATTTTCAAAGAATTAATGCTTTTTCACTATATAATCTATAGAGCCCCGCCCTAACACCAGAACCCCTGACCCTGGGGCCATGAATTTCACAATTTTGAAAGAGCATTCTTGCTCATCAAATCTATGTACTTGGTTACTTTATTTAATACCCAGGAGCAGAGAAGAAGATTTTCATAGAATTAATGCTTTTTCACTATATAATCAATAGAGCCCCGCCCTTACACCACAACCCCTGACCCTGGGGCCATGAAATTCACAATTTTGGTAGAAGCACTCTTGCTCATCATAACTATGTACTTAGGTACTTTATTTAATATTCAGGAGCAGAGAAGAAGATTTTCAAAGAATTAATGCTTTTTCACTATATAATCAATAGAGCCCCGCCCTTACACCACAACCCCTGACCCTGGGGCCATGAAATTCACAATTTTGGTAGAAGCACTCTTGTTCATCATAACTATGTACTTAGGTACTTTATTTAATATTCAGGAGCAGAGAAGAAGATTTTCAAAGAATTAATGCTTTTTCACTATATAATCTATAGAGCCCCGCCCTTACACCAGAACCTCTGACCCTGGGGCCATGAATTTCACAATTTTGGAAGAGGCACTCTTGCTCATCAAATCTATGTACTTATTACTTTATTTAAGACCCAGGAGCAGAGAAGAAGATTTTCAAAAAAATAATGCATTTTCACTATATAATCAATAGAGCCCCGCCCTAACACCAGAACCCCTGACCCTGGGGCCATGAAATTCACAATTTTGGTAGAAGTACTATTGCTCATCATAACTATGTACTTAGTTACTTTATTTAATACCCAGGAGCAGAGAAGAAGATTTTCAAAGAATTAATGCATTTTCACTATATAATCAATAGAGCCCCGCCCTTACACCAGAACCCCTGACCCTGGGGCCATGAATTTCACAATTTTGGAAGAGGCACTCTTGCTCATCATAACTATGTACTTAGTTACTTTATTTAATACCCAGGAGCACAGAAGAAGATTTTCAAAGAATTAATGCATTTTCACTATATAATCAATAGAGCCCCGCCCTAACACCAGAACCCCTGACCCTGGGACCATGAATTTCACAATTTTGGAAGAGGCACTCTTGCTCTTCATAACTATGTACTTAGTTACTTTATTCAATACCCAGGAGCAGAGAAGAAGATTTTCAAAGAAATAATGCACTTTCACTATATGATCTATATAGCCCCAACCTGGGGCCAGAACCCCTGACCCTGGGGCCATGAATTTCACAATTTTGGTAGAGGGCTCAATGCTTATTACAATGATGCCAACAGTTTGACTGCTTGATGTCCAGGAGTAAAGAAGAAGATTTTTAAAGATTGCATTATTTTTGGTGGTTTTAGCCCCACCCCTCAGGCCCCAGGGGGGCAGGTTCCATGAAATTCACAATTTTTGTTCCCCTTCACCCATAGATGCTATATGCCAAATTTGGTTGAAATTGGTTGAGCGGTTTCAGAGAAGAAGCTGAAAATGTTCAAATGTTAACGCACATCGCACGACGCACGCCGACGGACAAAAACGGATAGCAATAGGTCACCTGAGTGACTCAGGTGACCTAAAAAGAGGCAAAGGGAAAATCTAAGGAAATATAATAAACAGAAAATTCAATGTTTTATAGATGAATATGGAATTTATTTCACTCATGAGACAGGATTTTTTCACTCGTGAAAATATTATAAAATCCTGTCCCACTCATGAAATAAATTCCATATTTATCTACAAAACATTGAATATCATCTATATATCTACCTGAACAATAAACAATTTTGGCTTAAGGTGAAGGGCTTGACAAGATTGAAATTTCCTCACAACTGTGGACAATGGAATTTTGTTGCCTTTGCTGTTGTAGAAAAAACCCGGTCCTCCAAATGCTAATACAACACATATGAAGATGTCACATGTCTGGAAATTTCCTTCAGAAAACAAGAGAGAAAGTAGAAGTTAAAGTTGATTTATTATGTATATATATAATATAGGGATGTGCGATTTTATCGGTGTACCAGTATATCGTGATTTTTAATTGCGTAATATGTATCATGATACGGAGACTAAAATACCGGTATTTAGGTACAAACCCCGATAGTTATAAATTCCAGAAATTATTCATTTATTTGTTCAATCTTTCAAATTACAATTACAGGAAGTGTAAAAGTTGTTGAAAGCAGTAAAAGATCGGCACCCTAGCATCCAAAATTGCTTGATGATATGTAAATAAAAAATTGAGAAGAGTGAAGAAATGTTATGTTTTTTCAGAAAAATTATGACTATTTATTTAAAATCATTTTAAAAACTGCATTTCAAAATATCACTATATTATCGTGATATTTTGGGGGAAAATTGTGATATATCGCGATACGGAATTTTTGGTGATACCCCATCCCTAATTTTATATATATATATATATATATATATATATATATATATATATATATATATATATATTTATATTTGTCAGGCCAAAATCATTTGATTCACTAAGTTTGATATATATGATGAAAAACTTTGTTGCACTGTATTGTTCAAGTGGTATTTTTTTTAAACATTGCATGTTGTTATGATGCTCATAAGTAATCATTTCCCTAGACTTGCAGAATATGCATTACAAATCACACAGTATTTTCAATTCCTTAATGTACCGGAAAAGGCAGTTTATTACTCTTTTAAAAAATGAATCATAGGTACCCAATCAAAGAAATTATCAAATTTGTAGAAAGAAAGTCCCACACCAAGGATGTTCTGGTAATGTGCATCCCTAGATGCAACATCTGTGTAAGTTTGGTTTGGGTAGAACTTGTAGTTACCTGAAAATGAACCTACTCCAAAAATCTTTATCTGGTCACTTTTAGAAAATGTAGTTCTCATCTAGCATCTGAAGCATGTTTGGTAGTGTGCATGATCAGCCTGTCTCTATGCTGCTCTGTCTCTATGCTGTATCATTGCAAGTTTGGTCATTATAGGGTTTATAGTTATAAAGGAATAGACCTGCTCCAAATCTAACCTGTGCAATTATTCAGGGGTCAGATCCAGCCTCCAGCAATAAGTCTAGTAAGTGCATCCGTATATGCATTATCCATATAATTTTAGGCACAATATACCTTATAGTTACTTGAGAAATGACCTGCTCCAAAATGAACCTGTTCAATCATTCAGAAAATATAGATCAGATCTATCTATCTCAGGTCTCATTGACAGGCGCGGATCATCAGATCAAACTCGACGCTTCCCATCTCATTTGATCTGATGATCCGCGCCTGTCAACTTGACGTGATACAACTCTTCGGATCAAGTTACTGTTATAATAATTTATATTTAAGAAAGTAACTTTTAACAGTTTTCTTTCCATAATTACATTTACAAAAGTTTTGGAGAATTGGAACTGTACTTAATAATGGTAGTTGTGTAAAAATTATTAAGGAAAATAACCACATATTGTGGATGCTCATCATATAAAATGTTTTTACAAGAAAATTTACTGAAAGCACACTTAAAGCAGAAAGCAAGTGTCCAAGAACTTATTCTAAGCAGCAGTTAATAATTCTTTGCAATATTTTTGAATATTTGGGTTTTAATGATAAATATGATTACCTTCCTCTGGAGAGTTTTTTCCTGCACATCTTTTTTTTATGTATTCATCTATTTCAGTAAGTACACATTTTTTCCCATCTTCTTCTTTGATTACTTCTGTTTGGTAATTTGTCCATCCAAATACATCTTCTAGTTTCCTGACCTCTGCCTCAGCACCAGTTCGAAATTTCTTTATTGAATGTCCGTCTCCTATCGTCTTCAATGTTTTGTTAATGTTAACTATGAGACAACATCCAAATTTACCACCTTTTTTAAGAAAGCAATAGCTTTCACTATATGCTCGCTCCGATGTCTGCTGTTTCTCTTTGGTTGTCATTATCTCAACATCCCAACCAATTGCCAGGTGTACCTGATATATTATCACCATAAAAGAAACTAAAATCTTTTCAACTGACTAAATGTCAGGATACTCATGCTGTAGTAAGTAAACTCACTAATTTAAAATGATAATATTATACTTTCATGTAAATTACGTGAATTTGATTCGTTGAGAAATATTTGTTAAAAAGCTGTTACCCTCTAAATGATGAAACCATGCCCTCCAGCAAGATAGAACTTAGCAACAGTCAACATTGTTTGACAACAGGCGACATGGGCGATATTCCAAAAAAAATAGTGACTGCGCGGAATTTATGCACGCACGCTTCACCTTTCTAGGTATAACAAAACAATTATTGACTGTGTTCTCGGGCAAAATGGCAACCCCTCGAACCAAACTGTTTACCTTCAGCCTAACGGCCTCAGACAAACAGTTTGGTTCTTGGTTCAGACAAAATGCATGTTGCCTTCGAACCCAGAAAATAAAGGTAAAATGTTACCCTCAATTACATGCAGTATAAATGTAATAACAGATGACAGCAGTGCAATATCAGAAAACAATAACTTCAGCACTGCACTCATACTTCAAAATCTAAAGCTTATACTGATTCAGAAATATAAAACAAGTTGACCATATACATCCACTGATGGGTACAGCAATGATACTAGGTGCATTTATTTGTATATTCCAGCATATCCAGTTATTTATAAATATGTCCCGCTGTCTAACCATATGGTCTTAAAATAAGTCTCTATCAATGAAGGATGACGGTATTATTGAGATAACCTCGAGCTCTTTTGCAAGACTCCGATAACAGTGTGATTGATAAATGGAATTTGTTTACCTGAAAAATTATCTTCACAAGCAAATACAATTATCGCGAATTCAGATAGCCTAAAAGTGAAATCATTTTACCTGAAAAATTATCTTACCAATTTATCATAAATTTAAATTGTTATCTAAATGACATAAACATATGATTCAATCACTTATATATGTATATATATATATATATATATATATATATATATATATATATATATATATATATATATATATATATATATATATATATAATATTATATATATATATAAAACGTTATATTAAATTTTCTTCAATTTTTTTTAGCCAAGACACAGCTGTATTTAAACTTAAAGTAAAAAAAAATGACTCACATGGAAAAATTATATGAACTGATGTTAGAAAAATACAGCTGAAATACTTGATTAAGTAGTCAATTGCTGTAAAAAAAGGAAATGATTCATATGAGTATCAAATTACTTGCTAGACTGTTTGAAAGATGTGAACACCGAAACCAACTTGAAGTTAACAGTTCTGCTCAGTAAGTGATTTTACCTGGAAAAAATCAACTTATCAAAATTATGTCATTGACATGTCACCTTGGCCTAGAAGATACAGGGTTGACAAACCGAAAGTAAAAATTTTTAAAACAAAAATATCAGCTATTGGCGTATTGCTGAAAAAAAAATTAAATGTCATTGAATTTTCAATTACCTCTGAGACTATAATATAATTTGTTTGCTGAACAACATATCAACAAGGTTTCCCTGGTTTTACTGGTTCACTGTCTAATTTGAAAGTAATTTTGGGGTTTTCCAAGAAAACGAGACTACCAAGAAATACACTCGGCACACCTCGGCCGATTCGTACCTTTGGTGAAGGTGACGGAATCATTCGAGGTTTGCCGAATGCCAAGAAATATTCGTAACTCCTTCGACGGAGCTTAGCCGAATAGGCGCGGATCCAGGATTATGTCTTGCTTAAAAATGGGGGGGGGGGGGATAAGGTGGTGGTACATGGGACGAAGTCACCATCCCTGTCTTAAGCTAATGACAATCACTTTAAACAAAAAAAAAAAAAAACTATTTTGAAACAACATAATTAATGCTAAATTTAAAGTGAAAAATAGTGCTTTAAAAAAAAAAGTTCCTAGTGGGGGTGGGGGGGGGGCTCCAATTTTTCTGAGAATAGTCTTTTGTTGTAGTTTTAATATGTAAATTTTGATTTGGATGCTCCCCCTTCCCCATTTTTCGGTCTAAAATGTACGGAGAGGTTAGAGAGACCCCGGGATTTAGAGTTTGGACAGTTTACCGGTGTTTTTCCCCACACTTTTGGGGGGAAAACAAAAACAATCATAAAGAAGTTGCTTCGAACCTGATTAAGAATATTTTGTCATTTCCACGTTTAAAAACCTATTCCACTGCAATTTTTTTTTTACTTCACTCATTTACAAAATACAATGCGAAATTTTCAGTTGTATAAGCGTTCCGAATTAATAGCATGGAATATTAAAGGAGAGGGGTTTTTTTCCTACGTAAAAAAAGATAAACCTATTCTCGAACAGTAATAAGTTTCATATACAAAATGAAGCATGTCGCTGAAAATTAATTTACTGTATAACGTTTTTGTTTTGAATTGCATTCAAACCTTGCAGATCTGACGATGAACTGGAATTCACTAGCTTTATATATATATATATATATATATATATATATATATATATATATATATATATATATATATATATATATATATATATATATATATATATATATATATATATATATATATTGCTACGGCAGAAGTGCATGATAACTTTATTAATCATTCCGATTTTTGTTGAACACAACTTATGCAGCAGATTCAAGTTTTATTCAATCTAATTAAAATTAGATTTTTGATCCGCTCAAACTAGATCTCTACACACAGTGTATAGTGATCTAGTTGGAGCAGATCAAAGATCTTATTTCAGTTAGATTGAGTTTTATTGAAACTTAATATGATTATTGTACATCCTATCACTCTCGTGAATTCTCTTGGTATAGATTTTTAGAGAGAGAGAGAGAACGACTATGTTCTCAGCGCTTGGACATGCTGACATTTATGATGTATAACTTTCAAGATGACCTAATGTATGATTTATAATGTTGATCTCGATTTTTACGAGTTGATGGTATCAACTCATGTTATGTGACTTGTAAGGGATTCCCCAATGTATCGAAACTAATCACATTTTCATTTGAGTATTTTGCGTAAAGGTTCTTGTATAATATTTGTTTATTTACAATTTTCATAATCTACAGAACAAGAATAAGTTTCCTGATATGCTTTGAAGTGTTTATAAACATAAATATTCATTATTCATTTTATTGGAATTTGTGTCTATCCGCGAGAGAAAATAGTGTTAGGGACATGCGGTCAACAAAAGTGACATGTCGTGCAAACAAAGTTTTGATTTATAAATAAATAAAAGTTTTATTTAATAAGAAGTATTTTGAAAACAGTTTTTTAAAGAAAATTCACAAAATTGAACATTGTACAAACCAGGTTATTTTTACAAGACTGACCTGCTGGTGGTATATAAATAAACTAATTCTTGCGCTGTTATGCCAATGAACATAGAAGTTTTCCCGCGTTAGTGATGAATTGTTCAACACAGAGAACACCGCCTACGTTTGTAAACAAAGCGAGAAGTTTGCAGTAAAGAAGGTCCAAGCAAATCAATTACTAATCTCAAACGGAAGAAATGAGCTGTACCAGTAAAAACAATTTTGAAATTATAGTTTTTATTTCTTGTGCAAGCAATAAAAGATTTCGATTGCTTCAAGGGTTAGATTTTTTCAGCAGTGGACAACTTTGTGCTCCAATTTCTTTTTCTTTTTTTAAAACAACTGAATTCCTGTCTTCCACAATCTAGATCTGCCTCACAGCAAGCTTCAAATACAGCAATGGTCACTTAACACGCCCGTGATTCTTATCTCATTAATTATCGGCACTACACTGGAAAATTAAGTGGTTTCCTTTAATATGTCCGGCTGTGTTTTGCTATCAGATAAAGTGAATTAATAGTACTGAAGGCAATAAATAACCCCCCCCCCCCACAAAAAAAAAAATAATAATAATAATTGGAGTGTTATTGATAAATTAAATGTGAAATGCATATTAATAAATGTGAAGAGATCAAGAAATCAAATTAATTCAAGAGTAGATAGATCATGTAAATAGTAGATATCATGCCATTGTGATGAATTTAAAATCTTCAGTCGAAAAGCCCAAAGAATTGAAATATTAAACGTGCATACATGTATCAATGAAAGTCAAGTAGTTGAATTTCAAGAAAGGCTAAACCGAGAGAAATGATATGTAAAATGTGCATATAAATTAAAGTCAAGTAGTTATATTTCAAGAGTGACTAAACCAAACGAAATGACATATAAAAAATAATGCCCATTTCAGTTAAAAGTCAACTTGAGAAGTTGAATTTCAAGAGTAGCGTAATCAAGAGAATTAAAATATTTTTTGTGCATATCGATGATCATAAAAGACAGGGGGTTGAATTTCAAGAGTGGCTAAATCAAGAGAATTGAAAATAATATCAAATGTGCATGTAAATTTTGAAAGACAAGGAGTTGAATTTCAGTCGTAACAAAATCAAGAAAATTGAATTAGGTAATATACATATAAATGAAATAAAAAGATAGAAACTTTAATCAAGAGAAGTAAAATATTTTTTGTGCATATCGATGATCATAAAAGACAGGGGGTTGAATTTCAAGAGTGGCTAAATCAAGAGAATTGAAAATAATATCAAATGTGCATGTAAATTTTGAAAGACAAGAAGTTGAATTTCAGTCGTAACAAAATCAAGAAAATTGAATTAGGTAATATACATATAAATGAAATAAAAAGATACGAACTTTAAGACTGGCTTAATCACGAGAATTGGAACATATTGATGCATGTGCATTGAAAATGTAAAATTGTTTGTCAATTTAAGAAAGCAGTGAAAATATTCAACGAGCATGATAATGAAATAATTCAGTTTGCGCTATTTGTAAATAATAATTCCCTACTTGTAATACTATTGCAGGTTTGGCCTATTAATTTGAGATATGTGTGTTTAAAGCTTCTTTTTTAACTATTATTTTGTTTTGTTTTGTTTTGTTTTGTTATTTGTCAATTTAGGAGTTGTTTTAGTTATGTTATATGATTTTACAAC